TAGATTGCCTAGCCTATATACAGTATATATGAATGATTTATAGGCAATATAATATCACTCGGAAGGAAAGTATCTGTGATTAGAAATTTCCTTTTCTAAAATGATTCATATGCCATCGGCAGATATTGAAAATAAAAGTTACAAGGCAAACCAATCCATCGATCACATCTTGGGCTGTGGACTTCACCTGATCTAAAACGTTATTTTATAAGTGAAGAGCTGCTTAGGGCACACTGACGGATTGTCTCAAAGCGACATGAATGAATTAATTTGGTTAATTAAGGGACAGCGTGTAGTTATACTAAAAAGATTTAGCATCATGCCATTTTCCATCCGTAGTTCCCGGATCGAGGGGCAAAAGACTGAGCATTGATCTGAGCCACTGCCCAATGAAAACGCACAGTCAACTTGATCAAGTCTCAAAAAATATTATTGTGTTTCTACTTATTGAACGACAACTAAAGATAGTAACTATTTTCACAGGCCTACCATACATTCATGAAGCAAAAGAGCAGAAATAACAAGAGTAAGCTGCTGGATTTCACACATAAACCATTAAAGGGATTTGGAGTCAAAGTCCAGACGTGATGAGGTAAAAGGCCTCCAAAAGCCAACACAGGAATGTACTTTAAACTGCAGAGCAAGAATTTTCAGGGCCATATCTAAATTCCTAACATATAAGTTTTCTCTTTTAATTTACTAACTCAAAACTGTATCAATTCATTCGTGATTTGAATCTTCATTTTCCTGCATATAAGCATGTTTTCAAACCTGAAAAAATATATTTCCATAATATTATTAATCTTTCAGAATCAAATTAAATTGTTCCTGGACTATAAAAAAGTTGTAATGGCACCACATGCTGCTGCAAGTGGCGCCATTCTACCATCCGCTTGCATTAGCAACCATGTTAGCAAAACATTTTCCCCATGTTATAGAGTGAAGCTAACCCCGTCGGAACAAATGCCCGTATCAGGAAAATAGCTCAAGCCAATTTATGTTCAAATCGGCCTCTTCCTCGTTTGGCAAACACTATGGGTGACATCTGCAATCGGACAGAAAAATCCTTGGAAAATCGCATGGATATACTATACTGTCTATAGTTACATATACCATTTAGAGTTGCATGGATATACTACTGTCTATAGTCGCAAAGCAGACAAGGAAGTGCAATGGTGTCACTTCAGAATTTTCAGAAGAAATTGGATCCGCTTGTTCCATAGACTTAACAAATAGATTCAGATTCTAAAACCTTATTGATCCAAGGGAGCAATTGTTCAACAGTGGGGCACAGAGTATAAGGCTGACATAGACAGGACAATAATAATTTGAATTTCAATGGTCAAAGGTCCCACATGAACTCCTGTGAACTTGTAGATGAATGAAGGATTAGTTCTTAATTCCTTGGTAGAGCGTAAAGCCCAAGGACCAGCATCTGTTGGACTGACACATGGCACATCTGGCAACTAACACATCAGTTTCCCTGGCAAATGTGGCGAGTGCGACGGTGCTTATAGATGACATATTTAACAAGATTGTTTTAATACAATTCATTACAATTCTTACATTTCCTTCTTACTGGGCATGGCATCCTGTAGACAGCATGTGGAAACCAAAACATACACAACAATGTCAATGATGGTCAATGAAGGAAAAATTTTATGGTGCACTACATTTTTTCCTCTACACTCAGAACCACTCACCCCCACATTTATCACCAGATATTCAGAAATGCTCAATGCACACATACTGTTATATTAGAGTCCATTCATCCTTGTATGTAGGAAGTAAAAAAAACAATGTGCTGCACCTCCTGTTCCTTGAGGAATAGAAGGGTCTAATGCTGCGTTCACATTGCCAACGCTTGAACGCAGCGTCCACGCACACTATACATACATTCTCTAAGTTTCAGCCGCGTGAGTTTAGTAAATCTGAAGTATTGCCCTGCGGTGGGGAAAACGCAGAGTGGAAGTGAAGAGCGGGCTTTGATGCACGGAGCTGCCCTACAGGTTTATTTTATTATTAAACGATACTTCCGCAAACAAACACGTTAGCGGCACTTGTTTACAGTCACGGGACCCTGTGACTTCTATCCGGCTATCTGATTGGTTGCTGCACGTGTGGCTAGTTGAAAAAGTTCAACAATGTTCATCTCGCCCACTTAGAATACAATCCCTAACCCTAACCCATATCTGCACAGGGGTAAAATCATGGAAAAACTATAATGCGTAGTTGAAGAGTGCTTACCAGGGTCTTCTAGCTCGTGCCATCAAACCCATAGACTGTCACACCCCATCTAGACACAATATTTAAAGCTGCACAAACTGATTTGGAGAACATTTCAATTGCGAGCGATGCGCTCCCTCTCTCTGCTCGCCTCCCCCGAAGCCTGTGCTCTGTGCTGTTGTTAGCTTCGAAGCTAGCTTCTCACAATATGGAACAATATGGAACTTTTGCACGTGGATGGCGTGTCCATAGAATGACAGTAAAGGGATGGGCGGAGAGGACGAGACTTTCTTTTGGATGGATGTTTCGCTGTGTAAGCAGTAATGAAGACACGGGAAGATTCAGGTTAGCCTCTGCCGATTGTTGTGCTAACTCAGCTGTCTGTGCTCACCAGAGACCTGTGGATTTTCTCACGAAAGTGGGGGCCAGTGGTCCGCTGTGATTGGTCAAATCTGAGACCCAAAACACTTTCTCTTCCTTGTTTCACCAAAAATCAATCAAAAATATAATGTCACGCCAGCACAAACCTGCGCTACTTATTCTTCAAAAGGACGTATATTCCAATGCACTGCATGGACATGGATTGCATTGTCGTAATGAATAAGAAAATAAAGTCAGTTAGTGCAGCTTTAAGTGGTTTTTGTGCAATCACATTACCCTTTAGCGGGGTCATACAACTTGTGCAATTTTAAAACTGCCAAATCCACCAGTCACTTTCACTGTCATTCTACACCCTGTTTTCATGACAACAAGAGGCATTCCTCGCTGCCATTACTAATAAATGAGCCGACTCAACCGCAACACAGAGGCTACATCTGAACCGCAGGATTACAATGCACCGTGGAAACAGTTTATAGCAGTGGTTGTCAAAGTAGGTACTTGCCGATACCAAGCATGTTTTAACAAAGGTTCTACTGTGGTAAAAAAAAAAAAATTTCATCATACCAGAATTGTGACACATTTAGGGCAGTTACATCAGATTAAGGTGATTACACGTCTGGAAACAGAGACTATTAATATCAAGTTGTCAGTTCTGGGCAGTCTGCTGGAGCAGCTCAATGCTCAGAGAGACAAGCTTTGAGATTGTCAACATGGTCCAATACCAGGAGCTGATACAAGTATGAGCAACTGAGACCGATGCCGGTACCATCCTGTACATCTCTTCATGTCCGGATTTTTACTGTTCTCACAGAACAAGATTTATTGCAAACTGCAACATTGTAGAGAGGCTTATAGTATTGTAAAATAGCTCACAATAATGTGTTTTATAACAATAAAGTACAAAGATAAGATAAAGATAAGATAAAACTTTTGCCAATCACCAGGAGAAGATGCTCTTTATTACATGTTATTATTGATAAGAACAACATCCTCTCGGCTCCCTTGCACTATATTGCACCTGTCTACTCCTGATGTAGTTCATTGAGTCTTTTGTTTTAGTAGTTTAGTCAAGTCAACTCTTCACATGGAGGGCGCCTAACAATAAGGTTCCAGAATAGCAATAAACGTCTCAATTCAATTACCTGAGATCTGCAGAGTGGCTCATAGTAAAACATAACTGTTGAATAAATGCCAAATGAGCTAATGTAATGTAATTCTGTGATGCATACCACACAATACTGTCATATCTTCAATGAGACAATCTGCAGATAAGTTACATATAGTTAAATATTATAGTAAAATAAGGCCAGCACACAACTGGACGATTACAAAAGTACAACATATTTTGATTACCTTTGAGACACAATGCACAGAATACTGATTTTACATCGACCGGTTACTACTTTTCCATATTTTTATTTTTAGCCTGTATGTGTGTTTCTCTCTGTCCCTGGTCGCTGCTTCATTGGCTGTAACAGTATTTGGTTTTGTGTTACAAATTATAACAGAGTAGTATGAGCAAAGCAGCTTAAAAATTACTTATGAGGATACACAATAAGACAAATAATCTCTTGTGTGTTCTAGGCTTTACTAGAATTACATTTTTGACAAGCTTTAAATGTGTTTGTTCATTATTTTACCAAACCTCAGGTAGACATCTAGATTGCCCATAGTAGTATTTCATAAGTTGTAGACCTATGATTGAAAACTCAAATGGGTCATCAGCTGTGCCAAAAATATTAATATCAGAAAAATCTCATCAACTTTTCTCAATTGAAATTGTTGAAATGTACATTAACACGTCTGGTCTTTATCGCTCTTCATTCGCTTGTTGCTTGCATTTGCCTGTACTATTGATCACCCAGCCCTATTTTCAAATATAAATGGGTGTAAAACTAAAATATATATATTTATGCCATCATTAACCTGCATAAAAAAAATCTTATTTAAAAACAATGAACTCGTCAAAACTCGTATGCCTTTAACGTTAATTCATCAATTCCAATGTATTTACTTCACCTTTAGTTCACAATCATTAACTTCAGGAGGTGACTCAGATCATTCTAAAATTACTGCAGAATGAAATAGAAATGTGTTCACAAGGTATTTTTAATCATAATCTCTTTGAAGATGTTCTCCAGGGGCATCACTTGAGTCATATTCACTGAACCTTAAGAAATCTAAAACAAACTAATTGATTCGTCGAAAGAAAAAATAGCCAACTAATCCCTTAAAATAATAATTGTTAATTATAGAGTCAATGACATGCTGGGGAACATTCCATCTAGGAGGGAAAACATTGAGATGAGCACAACAAGTGGTGGGGCGTCCCTCCATCACATCAGAGAAGTTGCATAACAAAATCAAACCTCTGGAGGGGGGGGGGGGCTCACCTGTCTCTAGGGTCGATCCAGCTTGTGCACTGGTTGATGTGGTCAATATAGTACACTTTTCCATCGTAGTCTCGGGCTTCCTCCCAGCCTTCAGGCAGTGGCAGCTCGCTCCGTGGCATGTCCAGAGCCAGTCCCCATGTAAAATGCACAGCCCACTTATTCAGAAACCATCACTTTTCTCTGTCATCATTCTCTTCAACACGTTTTATCTGCGCTCACTGACAAAAATCCATCTGGGTTCTGGGTACACAGCCTTGGACATAATCCGAAAAATCCATAATAATCCTAAATGGGTAACATCCAATGGTGGAGGCTGCTGGCGATTGTCTGCTGTCCCGTTCTGTTTTGAGCGCTATATCCAATAGAGAGACGCAACAGTCAAATATGATGTATTCTCACAGTTGCATGAAAATTATTAGTAACTTTACCACGATGGTCACTCCAGGCATAACTTCTAAAAGCGGACTACTTCTCGTAAATTATACACGCTCCACAAAACACTAACATGGCAGTAGGTTCTTTCAACAATTGGCGTGTTTGCACCGCATCCAAAGTTAATATATTAAACGTAGAGACCACCTAATAGAACTGAAGAGTGGAGTTGTTATGTTTAGTGTAGTATAATACACATACAAATGCATAATCGGGAGTCTTCTTGTGGGGTGAATAATGCTACCTCCATGTTGAGTTGTAGCAGCGGGGAAAACGAGCACCCAACACCGGGGGAGACGCCGAGGAATCACCGCCAAAAACAGTGTCCAGAATACGGTCCAGACGGGTAAAAACTTAGCCCTGGCTACAGTGAGTTTATCCACTAAGTGTCCGCGGTGAAATTGAGGGGGAAAATAGTCCGTTTGCGGAGGTAAAGTCGGTCATCCACAGAGTGATCAAGTCCCACTTCACTCCGGGCGCCATCATCAAACTCACATCAATAATACACAGACCGGAAGTCATTTCAAAATAAAAGAGGCATCTCAAATCACGGATATGTGAGTTCCTGTTTTTTACTTGATTGTGATACCATATTTTACTGCCATAACTGGTCGAACTATGATACTATTAAGGTACTTATAGGCTTACCACTTTTTGGCTAGTTTATCCATTAGAAGATTCAGGATGACACATATGTGCCCTTCACTAATACATTTATCTATTTCAAATGTCTGACAAATGATGAATTCATGATAATATGAAATGTTCATCAAATGTAGAAATAAATTTAAAAATGTTATTATACTTAATTTATTTTATTCAAAATTTGAAAACTTAGTTTACAAGCAGACGATTCACTGCTCACTTACCTGAAGAAGCTCCCTAACCTGAAACATTGGCTTGACTGTTGTTCTTAAAATGTTCACAACATTTTAATCCTGTAATGTATTCAATTTTTTAATATCTTGTTATTGTGAATTTGTCTATTTGTTACACATACTGGTTAATTGGACATTTAATTCAAGCTTGCACTTATATTCTTAAATCATAATTTAAATGAAAAAGGCCCCGGCTGTTCTTTCAGCAGACATTCTTTTATTATTATGATAATATAAGACAGAAGAACTTGTATGTGATCTACAAGAACAGTGAAGAAAGAAGAAGCACTCAAAACAAAATAAATAGCATAAACACTATGTTTTTCTTTTTACGTAAAAACAGTTGTTAGTATTATATAAGTCAAATATGTATTCTTTTCTATTCATACCCATTCAAATTGCACCAAGAAAAAAATATAGATAATTTAATCGAATTTATTCATAACCAGTCTATGACTGTGAGGCAAAAGGTCTTATATTGATTCTATGGCATCCTCTGGTGGACGTTTGAGGACTGCATCTAAAAATAAGTTTTGTTTTAAGGCAGTTTACAAAATATTCAGTAACACTAATGTTATATTGTTTGTGGGGGGAAAGCCTAAAAAGTACAAGACTGTGTTCAGTTATTGTAATTATTTAACGGGTTGGCCTACATGTTTGAAAAGCAAAAGCACTGTTGAAAATCATACTGTAACTGTTTTGTTTATTTGTATTTATTTCACCTTCTTTTTTTAGAGTGGTACAAGGGCCACATTTTGATTCATTAATCATTTAATAAATGTTATGTAGATGCTTCGTTTCCGGGCATTGCTAAGTAATGACAAGAAAATACTTTATTCGTTATAACAGATTAATGGCTGCATTTGAAATTATGTCCCCTGTGATGATTGCGTTATTATTATAGATCTATGGTTATAACCCATAATAGATCCTGACTGTCGCGTGTTACAAAGGGACGCCCCTTTCTCTCTATTGGCTTTCCCTGAAACAAAAACAAGCGGCTCCCTCACTCACATGTAGTCGTATACTTAGATCGCAGTCTGCTTCAAACCTGGTCCCAAACCGCTATCTATCGTCCTCTTTCCTGATAGGAATCCTCTTGTCCTGGCTCCTGGTGCTGTTGTCCTGGTGCTGTTGTCCTGGTCCTGTTGCTGGTCCCGGTCCAGAGATGGTCCTGCTGAAGCACGTGCACGTCGCTCTGTCGGCCGCAGTGGCTGCGCTTGGATCAGCTTTGTTCATCGCGCTCAACTATTTCTACCAACGGCGAGTGTGGACTCTTCAGCGGGAATACTGCACCATCAGTGAGGTGAGGCGGACCGGGATCACCGGCATCACCGGGATGAGAAATGTGTCCATTTGAGGGCAATTGTTTCCGCGTAAATGTGGCGAATCAGGAGCGGTACAATGGAGTGGCCAAAAGATCATGTCCTAAAGTAAAACTAAAGACTAGTATTGTTTCTTTGCTAATGTGGAACTGTTCACATTTAATATGAAAAACATTATTGTAATACAACCGTGTAAATTATTAGTCAGGGCCGTGAGTAATGAACATGTTTAGGACACTATAGCGATCAATCGACTATAACTCATTTTGAGTTAAATAAATTGCTTTTGAACCATATACAGACTAAAACATGATAAGAGGAGTTGATGACTCAGACGGAGCTATGAAACGGAAATGTGTCGGAATTGTATTTTCAATTAAACAATGTTGTTACAACGAATCTCTTACCTTTCATGTCCTAAACATCTAAACACCTACAATGTATGAATCGAAAGGATATCAGCCACAGATGTTTTCCTTTCAGCCCTATAGTTATTTTAGTCGTCGACTTGTCGTCAGCAATTACGTATATGTTTTAGTCACTTTTTTTTTTTTTTTTTAGCTCCACAGGTTCATGGAGCTCTTTCGTGTTCCCATAGGATGATAGGAGTATAGAAGAGTCATTTTTTTTTTATTTGGATTCTATCCGTTGTACTGTGTTCACACCAAATACATCAGAGATACACAAACACATAAATGAAAGCACAATATTGTAGTCCAGTAGCCTCTTCAATATGGTAATTTGTTCCCTGGTGTGAGGATAAGCAGATACCAGGGTGTCTTGGTATCTTGGTACAAGGAGACATTTACATATTCTGACAGCACAAAAAAGCTGGCCACTAATGTTAAGGTAGCTGCTAAGGTGTCTATTTATTAATACAATAACTCACTTAACAGAGAGTTTATCTCTGTAAGGATGGTGTTTTATACATTGTATTACATTATTTGGTGAGCTACACTTCAGCAAATTGTAATTCATTTGTAGACTTGACCTCCTCATTTTGATACTTTTAACAATTTGATTGTTCTGACAATACAATTATGAATATTGACTCATTTCAGAATATATGAATGCTCCATACCGTGGATATAGTTATGAACAAATAATAATAATAATGCACTTTTCTGGACACTCAAAGACGCTTTACATGTCATTATTCTTACACTCCATACACTACTGTAGCCACAGCTGCCCTGGGGGCACACTGACAGAAGCGAGGCCTAAGGACACAACGGCAGTTTGGCACTTTACAGCCACAGCCGCCCCACTGTGGCTGGTGTTCCCAGAGGTTAAGTGTCTTGCCAAGGACACAACGACAGCACATATCAGTGGGAGTCGATGGTGAAGGCCAGGCTCGAACCCACGACCCTCTGGCTCAAAGGCCAATGCTCTACCAACTGAGCTACTGTCGCCCTATAAATAAACTAATGTATATATTTTGAATACCACACTTTTTATTTTTGAATCTAAAGATGAAATCTGATTAAAACTTGGGCTCCTTACTTTTTGAATGTAAACAAAACAATTCTCCATTGTCCCAACAGACAATTAAAATGCTGTGAATAAATCAGTCCAGCAGTTCTCATTGTACAGTCTGAGAGCTGCAGGAAGGAAAGACCTGCGGAACCCCTCCTTCACACAGTGAGGGAGAATAAGTCTGTCACTGAAACTGCTCTCCAGAGTGTCCTGCAGGGGGTCCTGTCCCCCACCTGCTGCACTGTGCCCATGGAACAGCCCAGGTCAGAACTGGACTTCCTGATGACCTTGTCCTTGTCTTCCTGTCCCTCTCTGCTGCTGCTTCAGCAGACCACACCATGCAAGATGGTTGATGCCACACCAGCACGTGGTTCCAGAGGAAAAAGTTCATCTCTTGCTTTTGCAGCATGCGTCGAGTCGCGGTGCGGCAGCCCCTCTGCCGCACCGCACATGCTATTCCTCGCACGGACGTGCATAACCATTGACACAGCATTGAAACACAAAGCAATCTATAGATCCATGGACGTAACGCATGGTCTGGTTGTTTTTTTGTTGTTGCATTTCCCAGAATGTTCATGCACGACCGTGATAGGTCGAGAAGCCTCTGCCTACGAGGCTACGTCCTGGACGTACTCCACCATGGACAACACCTCCCACTACACAGGACTGTAGAGGAGCTGAGGAGCTCCTGCAGTGGAAGACTGAGACACCCTCAGTGCAAGAAGGAACCTTCATCCCCACCGCTGTCAGACTGTACACTAAGTAACTTTAAGTCACTAATGCACTAGGACTGAAAAAAAAACAGCACTGTAATTGCCACATTTTTATTGTACATAATATATCCTGTGCAAACTATATTTTTAACCTTTAACATGTTTGCACACTTTTGTCGTTTTTGCACAACCTGAGTGATTCTATTTATGCCAGATGTGACATGTACATTTCTCCAGTGAGATCAATAAAGTCTATCTTATCTTATCATTGCTGGTTGACTCATCTATTCTCAGCTCGTTTGCAGAAACAAAGATGTAAACGGCTGCTGCTGTTGAAAAGAACAGTGCATTCTGCTCCGGGTTTTAGCTGTCACATTTTTATTTTTAAACAGACAGCTTGAGCTCTTATCTCAGGAGCCTGAACACAACTGAAGCGTGAGGCGTGAGCTGTGCTGAGTCCAAACGCTTCAGTCCCAGGAGTTAGGAGCTGCACCTGAGGAGACCCAAATCTACTGGTCTGGATTGGACACTTGTAATTCATGTATCATTGAGTGTTTCATTGTTTGGTCACGGTTTCTGTACAGGGCCCAATTAAATTTGAATGACTGGAAAAATCTGATATTTAGGGAAAGTTAGCATATGTGGTAGTAATACAAAATCCTTACTTTGTTTGAGAGAGACCGTCACAGGCAATGCATTCTGGGATGTTGCAGATTTGCAACATTGGCCCACTGTGGAAAAAGAGCTGACCCGCGGAAAAACCCCAGAGGAGATTTAATCTACTTATTGGCTTGTACTGTGTCTGAGAGCCAGAAAGGCTCTCTGAGCTAACTCACTTTGCACCTGTAAATGATAAAACTGTCCAAGAGATAATCTCCAGTTTGAGCTCCTCCACATGCAGCCTGGATGTACTACCCACTAGATTTCTGAAGTCTGTTCTGAGCAGTCTGTTACCTTCACTCACACAGATAGTAAACATGTCCCTTCATTCTGGAATATTCCCAAAGGCCCTGAACACTGCAGTCATCAGGCCCCTGCTAAAAAAGAGCAGTCTGGATGCCACTGTACTTAACAACTATCGTCCCATCTCAAATCTGCCATTTGCCCTTGAGAAAGTTGTCTACCTACAGCTTACTAGATTTCTTATAATCAACAACTCATTTGATATGTTTCAGTCCGGCTTTAGACCCCACCACAGCACTGAGACTGCTCTCGTTAAGGTTACAAACGATATCCGGCTGAACACTGACGCAGGCAAAGTCTCAATCTTAATCTTGTTAGATCTAAGTGCTGCCTTTGACACCGTCGACCATGAGATCCTCTTACAGAGACTAGAGGACTGGGTTGGCGTCACTGGCACCGCCCTAAGTTGGTTTAGGTCTTACCTTGAAGACAGGAAGTACTTTGTGGAGATTGGAAACTGTGTCTCAGATCATATGGCCCTGACCTGTGGAGTCCCACAGGGGTCGATCCTGGGACCTCTTCTGTTCAATCTCTACATGCTGCCGTTAGGTCAGTTAATACGCAGAAACAAAGTTTCCTATCATAACTATGCAGACGACACTCAGATCTATGTCTCACTGACTGCAGGAGAACATGGACCAGTGGACTCACTCCTTCACTGTATCCAACAGATCAGTGAGTGGATGCAAAACAACTTCCTTCAGCTAAACGCAGACAAAACTGAAATGATTGTCTTTGGTCCCCAGAAACAAAGAGAGAGCGTCATCTGTCACCTACAGTCTCTCTCCCTAAAACCTTCAAACAAGGTCAGAAATCTAGGGGTAATACTGGACTCAGACTTAAATTTTAATAGCCACATCAAATCAGTAACATCAGCAGCTTTTTACCATCTAAAAAACATTGCCAGGATCAAAAACATAGTGTCTAAAGCAGACTTGGAGATTCTTATCCATGCATTTGTCTCCAGTAGGTTAGACTACTGCAATGGCCTGCTCACAGGTCTGTCCAAACAGGCTGTAAAACAGCTGCAGTACATTCAAAATGCAGCAGCTCGAGTCCTGACAAGAACCAGGAAGTACGACCACATTAGTCCAGTCCTCAGGTCTCTGCACTGGCTTCCTGTGGCTCAGAGAATAGACTTTAAAACAGCTCTGCTTGTGTACAAGTCTCTCCATAGCCTCGCACCAAAATATATTAGTGACATGTTAGTCCCATATGAACCAGCCCGGACTCTGAGGAGCACAGGGACTGGACTCCTGTTAGTGCCCAGAGTCAGAACTAAACATGGGGAGGCTGCTTTTCAGATTAATGCTGCTAAAATCTGGAACAGTCTTCCTGAAGATGTGAGACAGGCCTCCTCTCTGACAATGTTTAAAACCAGGTTAAAGACGGTTCTGTTTAACTGTGCATACAACTGAGGGATTTTATATTTTTATCTTTCTTTTTAATGTTCTGTGATAATTTATGATTTTAATGCTTTCTTGTTTTGTTCAGCACTTTGAATTGCCTTGTGTATGAATTGTGCTATATAAATAAACTTGCCTTGCCTTGCCTTGCCTTGTATGTATTCATCTTTCATTGTATGCAGTTTTGGTTTAAAATTATTGGAGGTTGGTAGTGATACAAAATTAAAATTGTAGTCCGTTTCGGTGACCATTCGCTGACATTTTGGAAATGAGACAGGTGGAAAAATATGAATCAAAAATCTAAAATAAGAATGTGGAGTTGTAATAAGAAACGACATTGTTGCAAATCTGCAATGCCTGCCGAAATGGTCAATATTTTACTGCGACATACTGTATACTTACTGTATACAGCAACCTGGCTTCCCATAAATGTACATTTTATTTATATATTGTTGTTTTATTGATTTTAACAGTCCCCTTTCTTTTACAGGTCTTTTACATTGATCTAAGCGTAGATTTTGCATCAGTCGCATGTAACTGCTTGTTCTATCTAAATTAAGATTAAATGTATCACTGGTTTTATTCTCAGAGTGAAGGTCAGTTACTTTTCTAATGGAGACGGTGGAGAGAAGTTTTAATTAAGGAATTGAAATCCTTTGATAGACATCAGAGGCCCCTCCCCATTGATCTAACAATTCTCCTCCTTATTATGACAATATTGCAGGGTCATAAAAAAAAGATTATTTTCTAAACAAAATATAATTGAAGTTCTGCTTTGAACTGGTTCAGTATTGGTTTATTACTAGAGAATATTTTTGTGTAATAGATGCATGTATCAATAATTGATTCATGAAAGCTGCAAATATCCACTCTATTTTACTATCTAACATAGTATTTGAGTGAATGTATGAAGCAGGCAGCTACCTGGAGGGAGGATGACTCACAAATCTGCAGTGACAAAATTAAGTTGTCAGTTATAATACTGATATTTCAGAAAAAGTTAATTTTGATGTATTGAAATGAAATTTCTGCCCAAATACAGTATAATCTTAGGTAGTTTTATTAATCGCCATGTGGTCTTTTACGTTCCAATGTACTGGTGGTGCTATTCTAAATGTATGAGTTCTCTCGTTTTGCAAGATTATACATCAAAATAATATTTGATGATTATTATTAGGCTTTTTGTTGCTATGCACTAACCCTAACCCTCCTAATATAGGGCTTCTGGTGAATTCTCCTGTTTATCTGTATTTTTCAATATCCAGTGAATGTTTTTGGTGAACGATGAACACCTAATTAAAATCAGACTGGCGAAGCAGAGGGACTTTGAGAGGTTTGGACCAGAATCTGTTTGAGCAGCTGTAACTATGACTCAGCTCCTGTATTCATTACCAACAACCAACAAGAGACCTTCACTCCTCTGAAATATCTATGGCACCAAGACATGCAATATTACAAGATCAAGAATAATAAGCAAAAAATAAAAACGCACCCCTAAGGCTTTTTCACATCCCTTACACTTGTGGAAAAAGGGGAACCACATTTTGAACTATAGATACTGTATGTCACACTTATTGGTCACATGCAGCAGTTTTCATGAAGAAAGAAGGGAAAGACTTATGTGACCATGCACAAATGAAGCATACTTCTAAAATGGACCAGTTGGGTTCATGAGACCCCCACTCTCTATCAGTTGTCTTCCTGTATACATATAATTAACCCATCCAGGGACTACGATTGGAGATATATTTTATTTTTTATAAGACTAATGCGTGTTGTACATTGTCCCTGATCAATTTACAGTATTTACTGTCTGTAGTCTTCCTGCTGATGGTGCACAGGCAAAGACCACGTTCAGAGTGGGAATTGCCCATGAACGGCTCATCATCTCATATTTTCTACTGGAGAACTGAGAGATCATCTTGAGGTCCAAGTTGCGAAGATTGAATAATTCTTGACCTTTAAAATGGTTTTACAGTGGTCCAATTACTGGGGATGGTCAGTTATGTTTTAAATAACGCACGTTTAGCCAATTGTGAGCGTGCTAACTCATATCTGTGGGTTACACATTATGGCGACATAACTATTTCCCCTTGCTGTTTGGTCATGAATGGGCTAGAAATAGTAATTGTTCAGTAGAAAGGAGAAAGTCACTTCAAAAATATTTGCACGACTCGATGTTTTTCACACCAGAACAGCAGTGTCCTAGTCATTTTGATTAATTAAAGGATAAGTTAAATCGCTTGTCCAGGGTTTTACAAGTTTCTCCCGTGTTTCGCCTCACATATTTTTATGAGAAAGATTCCAATTACAGCATGATGTTAAGGGCCAGTTTTACATATATAAAGCACAAAGAGATACAGTTGCTGCTGCCATGTTTATATCTACTTACAACTAAAGCACTCGAGCAGAACACACATAATTACCAGAGCACACAAATTAGAAGAGTCCTTTCAAGGGCTTCAAGTCTCAACTTAGGATCCCCTTTTATTCTCTGGCTTAACACAGTGTGAGTTATTTGTTCCTCTGTTTTATTATTTCTTTATATATATTTTTAACCCATTTTATTTAATTAATGGATCTCTGTTATTATTTAATATTACTGATTGCTTTGGTACTGATTTGTTTTGTCTGCTGTTTTGGCCTGTTTTCTGTACTGCCTCCTCCTGTGCAGCACTTTGGAAACTCTTTGTTCATGAATTGTGCTATATAAATAAAGTGCATTTGGATTTGAATGGTGGACTCCAAACCTAACCCACTCACTCATTGTCAGCTCTCTGGATATTGTTCAGATTGGTGATTTAACATAACAAAAGCGTACTAAACCAGCTTTAAAAACCAGCTCTACATTCTCCCGCCACAGAGCTGGGTCACAGTGTATATGGGAGCGTTCTTACATAAAGATGAGAGAAATGCAAATGCTTGGTTCGTTAATTAATTTTGGAGACAGGCAGCACAACCAACACAGAATTCAGCTAATGAGAGCAGAGGCAAATTGTGAAAAGGGCTTGGTGCCGCTTGTTTACTCAGAATACATAGCAAATAGGAGTTGTTTGACTTTGTCACCAAGCAAACACTTGAAACTTGATTGTAACATTGTAAACCCACATTAGTGAAAACAATACTGATACCACGCAAGAATCTTACATTTATGATACTTTTTCAATACATACAGTACTGATTGCATTCTCTAATAACACCGTACATCACTTATTTATTTGTCAAATATTTATCATATTTTTGTCTTTTTAGTTTTAGTATTGATTAGGATCCAGGCGGCTATTTGTATTCTGTATATGTTGTTGGCGAATCGACAACTGTGTCAAGTCCTCCGAGACGACTGCTGTTGTGATGTAGGGCTGTACAAAACTAAATGAAATAATGAAATAGAATAGGGAAAATGGCAATTAATAAAGCATGATTGCTAGGGGGTGGGGAGGAACAAAACAACACATTAGCTAAAAGAGCCCAACCTAAATGTCTAGTATCTTCTGTAAATATGTGAACATGTGGATTTACTTGCAACAAAGTAAGCGACAGTTTATAGCTGTGCAATTAGAATATTATTTAAATTATGTGGACAATGCTATTTTATTTTACCATTCTAGAGAATTGAGAAGCAAGGCTGGGATCCAAAACTGGCTTATCATGTTAACAGCGCTTCTGTTAAATGTTACTGGACAGTCTTGGATCTCAGCTCCTCCATTTGTATAATAGCACAAGTGAATATAGCCTAAAAGTGTGTAATGTTTACTTTTTTTTTTGTTCCAGGAGGAGGAGGAAGAGGAGTGTGTGAATCGCCAGGTCTTGGTTCTTGGTTTGGACGGAGCAGGAAAGAGCAGTGTTCTTCAGGGTCTGTCCAAGTCCGAGTCCGGATCCAGAGGCACCAGACCCACGCGAGGATTCAACTTCATCAGCCTCCGAGTGCTGCGCTGCCAGATGGACTTCCTGGAGAGTAAGAGGCAATCATGCTTGATAGGACAATTATTTGCCAACATACATACATGTGAAACTCGTAAAATTAGAATATCGTTCAAAAGTCTGCAATTCACCTAAAAATGAGAAAGCTAATCCATGACATACTCGTTACATGCAAAGTGAGATATATCAAGCCTGTTGTAATATTAATAATTATGGCTCACTGCTTGTGAAACCCCCAATTAAAAAAAAAAGTAAAAATGGATCATATTCCATAATAATTCAAATTGTAAAAACAAAAGCTTGGCATATGTCACTTGTGTAATGATATATATCAATTTCACATTTTATTTATTTACAGAAATAAATAAACTATATGATATAATATAATTTCACCTGTATATGGAGAAAAAGGTCATACTATAACCGCATACAAAACAATATTGACAAGTTGTTTGTTGTTAGTGACAGATTTCTTGCAACAAACATGTTATGGTTGGCAATTAGGTGCATTAACGTGGGATTGTATCGCTCAAGTGATGTCTCTGGAAGACTCGTTCATAGAGTTGTTACATATTGTAAAAAAAAAAAAAAAAGAAAAGATTAATACAACTGTCAATCAATGAACACAAATAGGCCTACAGTCATCGGTAACCAAGCATGAAGTGGCCGGAATAATAATCAGATGGAGAAAAGTCCCTTGCTCTCTTTAGGTGGAGAGGTCCTGTTCAAGTGGAAGAGTGCAAGTACAGTATGTCTTCACCATGAGGGAAGGGTGTAGCATGAGATTGTGTGAGATCAGTGTGTAAAGGGAGCTGAGTGATGATAGGCAGGCATGTATTTCTCTGCGCTAAAGGTCATAGGTTAACAGATCCAAATGCTAAATATTATCTCTGTCACTAATATTGTATAATGCTGTAAAATAAGAGATTGAAATTGAGTAGAAAATTATGCTGCAAACCTCCAAAGGCTGCAATTGGTTTGAGATACAGTATCGCTTGAATATTTAGTGATTATTTAGTCTTTTTCAGGGTAATCTTGACCCCAGGGAGATGGGAGATATTGTGCATGTTTTTTGTAGTAGGGGACACCAGAGCACCCAGAGAAAATCTATGCAGACACGGGAAGAACATGCAAACTCCACTCAGAAAGGCACGGTTCTGACTCTGTGATTCAAACCCAGGACCTTAAAGAGGCAAGAGTGCTAACCTCTCAGCCACTGTGTTGGCCGCAATGTCTATATTTATTCTCCAACTCTGAATAAATACTGATTACATTAATGTACTGTATGTCTGTATCTGCTTTCGAGGTTCCTGGTTTAGTCCCGGTTCAGATCGATCTGCACCTGTGGACTTGAGCTTTGCTGATAGTAATACTACAGGTCAACATGAGTTTCCTCTGCTGATTGTCTGGCCGCTCCTCAGAGATAGGCTCAAGAGTTCGCACGGGAGGAGTACGGAGTGGAACATAATACAATGATAATACTTTAGTTTATTCATCTCTCCTGTGAGACTAAGATGTTCAAAACAAAACTAAACCAGATCCAATAGTTAATTTAGATTGTAGAAGCAATTTACAGTGATCCAGTATCCAATGTTTAATCTAATCTGATTTCTGAACATTGAAAAGCACCTTGGTCTGTAAAATGTGTTATATAAATAAACATTACATTACCATATGAAGCTTGTGTACTTGTTACTAGTAGTACTGGAAAAGCCGACAGTATTGACGGGTAAAACGTGAAATGTAGAGGTAGTTTAGGTTACATGAGACTGTTTGGACTGAGTCGGACACAAATGTAAACTAAACATATAGATTTATTGACTACTCCTTGGTTAATGTGTAGAAGTGTAGTCCAAACTCCATCAGAGCATGCCATATTTAAAAACTGTAAAACATAAATACTTGATTAAAAATTGAATTATAAAAATATAGTCATGTAAGTGTCAAACTGAACTTATTCAGTGTATTTTCACGCAGTGGGCCTCAAGGGCAGCCTGTTTACTCTCAGCATTCTGGCCTTCACATAATGGCCTTCTTACGTCTTATTAGAAATACGTTTTTTCAAATGCAGATCTTTAAACCACATCTCAGGAAAACTCTTCCAACGTACAGTACAATTTTACAAAGATATTATTCCAAGTAAAAAGTGGAATAAATTAGAATAAGTTTAACATGTTTAGTTTTTTTAACTTATAGGCTGTCAAGGGAGCACCTCCTGTCAAAAGGAAGAAGTCAACTGAAGGATTTTATCTCTATTTTTAATGCTTATGGTTAATTTGTTTTGTTCCCTTATGTGATTGTAATGCCTTCATGTTTTTTAATTAACACTGTTTTAATTAGTGTTTTAAATGGTGATTCTGGTGTTTGTTTTATATGATGATTTGTGCCTTGTGTGATGTGGACTGCGAAGTGCTTTGTGTTGCCCTGTGTGAAAGGCGCTCTACCAATAAAGATTGATTTATTGAAATGGGTTTTCTGCTGTTTATCCCACCACTGATTGTTTTTTTATTTTCTATGTCTACTAATTGTTTGCCGTAAAAAGAATGACGTGGTCGGTTTTTTCTGATAAAATTAGCTGCATAAATCTGAAATGCTAATCTTTTTGTTTTGTTCCCAGTTGGCGGTGGAGAGGACCTGCGTGCGTACTGGAGTGACTACCTGAGGAAGACCCATGTTCTGGTCTTCATCGTGGACTCTTCAGACCGGATCAGACTTCCTGTGGCCAAGTCCGAGCTGCACCGACTGCTGAAGGCGGACCCACAGCTGCCGGTCGTCGTACTCGCAAACAAACAGGTAACAAATGCTAGTGCTAGCCCCTTGAAAATATGTATTTATTGTTTTTTGTGATGTATTTAAAATTTAATTAGCAATCCATTATTAGGGATTTTTTCTTTGGCAATTTTCAATTATCAGCCGTTTTTTTCCACCATAAAATAATGTTTCTCATTCATTAAAGCTGGAGTGTCTAACTTTGAAACCACAAAATATTAACTATGTAATACAATTCTATCGCTAGTTTTTTACATTTTTGGCCTCTGCCACACCTTAAGATCAGCTTTCTGTTGGCAAAAAACAGATTGTATTCATGAAGCAAAAAAGGGTCTCAATTTTTAGAGAAATAAAAGCTCTATTATTTGATTTTATTACACACAAAGAATATATATTTCAATAGAATAGTTTAATCTTATGAATGTTTGTACCACTAGGTTTATTTCCAAAAAAGAGTTCTCCCTGATTCTTAAAACTCTGCTAATATCCTCTCCTACTATGACTTTTCTCTTTGCCCTGTGGAAGTTTAAATCCACTTCCTGAACAAAGTTATCCTCCTGCGAGCTGCAGACAGGCCCGATGCCCCGATTCTCCTATTTTCCAACGATGATCTATGCTGCTCCAGAGAATAAACACATTTTCTGTAGACTCATATTTCATTGGAAGAGCTCAGGGCAAAATCCATCACCTCAAATCTGCGGCTGCTTTTGACACGCTGAATAAATTGAACTGTACCTCAGCAAAGCCCGATGTTTCAGCAGTATTTTTTGATTGCTGAAAAAATCATGGATCTGCATGGACATTATATCAGATAAAAAGTGTTTATAGATTTGCACCATTATTGATACTAAAATGTATTAAAGCGGAGGTTGGTTACCTTTTAATTTGTTAAGATGGAAAGACGTTTTTTCGAAAGCAAGCGCCCGTGAAACCCTCCCCCACTGAAAAAATATCTGTTTTTATCAATTGAACTTGCCTTTTTTATACCCCCCAGTTTATGTGAAATGCTAGTTAGAACCTCATTTTTTCAGTGTGAAAGTAATCAAAGATGGTGGTTCAACTCACAAAGTAGGAACTGAGAGTAATGAGGCGCTTTGCGTTGCCTTGTGTAGGAAAGGCGCTCTATAAATAAACGTTGATTGATTGATTGATAATAGGAACTAGTTATTGGTACATGTGAAAACGCCGTCTGTAGATTTACCCACAATGCAACTGGAGAGTATCTTTACAGTTGACAAGTGGGTTTACATTTTTAGCATGTGTGTGGCAGAAGTGATGTCTCATTCACACTGACTAATCACTGATTCAGAAGAGAGGACATTTAGGCCATATGACTAATATGGAGGATCTTTATCATTAGTCATTCAGCACCCACACTGTGCTGGTGCTGCCGTGCCTAGCCCAAGGACAAACTGAAAGTTTTGGGGAGATTACTTTGAACTTCTGGATCCACTTCCTGTACAGCGCCATGGCTTACCACAAACATTTCCTTACATTTATCGTGCATTTTTTAATGTTTATTATTTATGGTATTGGCTTAGTAGTGCTTTATTGATTGTAAAGTTTCAAGGCTACAACTTTTGGCTGTTTCATATAAAATCTCTTGAAATAAACTAGCTCCTAGAGGGTTAACATAGAGATAACAAAAATATCAATCATCAATCAAAGTTTATTTGTAGAGCGCCTTTCATACACAGGGCAACACAAAGCGCTTCACAGTCCACATCACAAATCATCACATAAAACAAACACCAGAATCACAATTAAAAAAATTAAAATTAAAATTAAAAATACAGAATTGATAACAAAAAAAGAATCGTAATTATATCAATAGGTCTTTCAAATGTATTTTATTATTAATACATACATTCCCCTGTGTTTCAGGACAAAGCCGGAGCAGCGAGCATCTCAGAGCTCCATGAAGAACTGTCTCTTGGCTGCGTGTCTGGAGAGCGGAAACTGTTTGTGTTGCCTTCTGAATTCAACTCCGACCCAGCTCCCAAACACTGCGCACCGGGACTACAGAGCTTCCAGGACCTTCTGCTGCAACTGGTCTGACACAGGTCCTGGAAGATGTGCTTAAAAAAAAAAAGAAATCTCGTGAAACTCAGAAAATTAGAATACCGTTCATTTACTTCTGTAATTCAACTTTCATGTGAAACTAATATATGGAAGATTAATTGCACGTAAAGTGAGATAAATCAAACCTGTATTTGTTAATAATAGTTAATAATTTGCTGATAATTGGCCCACAGCTTGTAAAAACCCTTAAAACATTTCAGAAAATATTTTGAAAACTGACTGCCAAGAACATCACAATTATAACAAACAAAAGGTGGGCATATGTCACGTTGAAGTCTATGAGTCTATATCATATATTGGTTTAAGATTTTAAGTTGAATTATAGAAATAAATGCACTTTTGAAATATGTTCTAGTTTTCTGAGTTTCACCTGTATGTATGTATGTATAGTTGTTATTATTATTATGAAGCTATATTTGCCATTTTAAACACAGCTGGCCTGGTTGAGGGTCCGCGTTTTTGTTTGGGTCCATTTAAACTGTTTTGCCGACCACAGTATGGCATTACATACATCTGCGGGGAGACAAGCCAACTCAATGTTTGAATTCAGATTTTTGAGCTGTAAAAACACCTGTAATTAAATTATGTATTTGGATGTGATGTAATGTTGAAAGATCAAGGCTATGCTCACACTCAAAGAGCAGCCGTCCTCCTGTGGACTCACCACCTGCAGAGGGTCAGTGAGGGGCTGGTGCTATGAGACTTGGGTGGCATCTCTGACTGCCACCCCCCTGACCCAGAAATGGATTAAAGGGTAGAAAATGGATGGATGAATAATGTAATGTATGTTTTGGAGGCAACCAAGATAATTGGCAACAAATTCTGGAACGTAAACAGTAGCTCAAAATAAAGCAACTGACTTAATGAAAATTTGCACAAATCAAAAGAATATCTGAAATCTAAGGGCAGGACTGATTTGGAGACTTTCTGACCCCAAGACTAATTTGGAATCATCCTCCTGATAATAGTGTGATACAAAACAACATTATAAGATTTATAATGTGGGGTTCAAATTTCTGATTATTCTTTCAATTATTGAACAAAAGTAATTACTGTGTGAACCCGAGATTGGACAATACATATTCATAACAAAGCCATCTTAGTGAAATTTGATTACTGGGTCAAAAAGGGCAGTAGTTTGTTCATATATATTTTATGTGTGTTTTGTCCAGTTTTACTTGTTTTTTATTTATCTTTTTTGGAGATTTTAAAAGTTAAAATAGTGCAGATGTAACTATTCCATCGACGGGTCTCTGCTGCAGACTTCTGGTTTATGGAAATGTCACATTCAGATCTTTATTTTGTGTTATTGCATTATAGCTGCTTTCATTTATTTCACAATATGACATGAAAATGGGTGAACTTTAATTAAAGCTGGGTTCCAAAACTTTTCCTGCTTTCACGGGTATGCAGATGTTTTTTTAGTAAGATAAAGACATGTTGTGATCTAATGTGTTCACAAAAATTCAAGTCTCTTCATGTTGGGACAAACATTTATTATTTATGAAAAAGTTAGGTACTCCAGCTTTAAGATTGAGTGATCACCTGTCCTTTGATCTGATCTGTAACTTGATCAGAAAAGTCTATATATAGACTGAGTGTATATTTGATGATGAGTCCTTTGTCTATTGTCAGAATGTGTACAGTGAAACGTTGAATGTTTTATTATTGTCAGTGTTTTGAACTGGTCTTTGCTGCTCATTTTGAACTCACAAAAAAGACTCGTGCATGTTTAGTTGTATCCAATGTCAACTGTAAATATGTTTTATAGTGTATTTTACTATTTTAACTACAAACAAAACAAAAAGTAAAATTGATAATAAAAAATAACTTGTGTATTTGAATGTCAGTGTGTTTCATTAAAGTGGAACTGTTACATTTCCGCATACAATTTTGCAGGAGAAAACCAATTTTTTGATCATACTTTGTCAATTGTGAGCAACTAAACATGAATCCTATGACCACAGCACAGCTATTGTTATATCTTAAAAACAGATTAAATATTGCCTGCAATATTGTGCTATGACACCAGAAGATCCTTATACTTTTCTAACTTTTGAAATCTTAACATATTGATCTTCATTGATTGATATTAATAAAACAATTGAACTGACCTCAACATTTTTGTTCATTTGATCCAAAATGCCTTGGTGACAATGCCAAATCCCACATGTATAATTAATGAAAAGGTTTAACACTGAGTGAGTAAACAACAAAGGAGAAATACTAGGATGTAGTCAAAAGATACATTTTCATAAACGATAAACAGATTCAGTCCTAATTTGTAAAAAGTTTAACTTTAATCATATTTTCATCCCCCAAATGAACACATAAGATGAACCCTACAGTAAATAATTTGGTTATAATTAATAATTGATGTGTGTTGTGTCTGCAGTATGTTATCCACATTTTCCCACCTTTTTTATAGGTTTTTTGTTAGAACTATTTCACTAGTTTGTTATTGTAGACCTGCTTTAGTACTGATAATGCGCTTTAAACTCCTAGTTTATAACATCATCTCAGGTCCGTGCAAAATATATCAATACGACTGAAATAGACGACTCAATAGATATTTATAAATAAATGGGCTTTTAATATTAATGGAATAATCATCTTTTATGCGTGTCACTCAGGGGATTTGACACAGCAACTTTCAGTTTTCATAGATGTTTTTCTGAGTCATATTTTCAGACTGCAGTAGATGGATGTGGGATTCTTGTAATAAAAACAGTTCATTCACATATCTTAAATTACTGATCGTATCTATAATGTCATGTTTACAGGGCTGCTCTGTGGTTCTTTGCTCTCCTCAAAAGCACTAGATAAACATTTGCTGCAGACTCCCACAACATGAATAAGTGTTTTGATAAACACTGTACCTGCCACTGGAGGTGGGCAGTATGGCCAACAACGATCAGTGCAATATGTTTATTATTATTCACAGGACTTGAACTTTGGATGACTATATGCGATGCCTTAAAAAAACGTAACCAAGCTCTCAGTTTTCAGCTGTGGTCATTCATTTTGAAAGTGTTTCTTCTCAGTAGTCATAATGCAGTTATCAGGGATGTGTGGTAGATTGCTATCAAACCAACCATATTTATCTACTACTAATACTCGTAGTTATCACTCACGGTGCTTTGAAAATAGGTGGAGGAACAAAAAATAATTATCAATAGACCTTTAGATTTAGAATGTAAAAATATGTAATTGAGAGGGTCACTTTGTGAAGAGGGGTTTCGAGTTCAAGCAAAGAATGTTTAACTATAAAAGCACTGGACCCTATTCTGTCACAAAGTGACAGATTTTAGCATCTTCTAAAAATTACTTCAATACAAAACAAGGACAATCTTACATCTACATCTCTGCATTTATTACAAATAAATACAAAGCTTTTCACACTAATTTGACACATGCAATTCACGTTGAAAGCCAAAAAGGTTTACCCTTCATCATTATAGAATAAAGAGAGATTTTTAAAAAGAGAAATATACAAGTTCCGTAGTCTACGGAGTAAACAAGCATCACTTTGAATTTTATATTCAATCCAAGAGGGGTTGGATAAAAAAAAAAAAAGGATACCAAAAACTACTGGAAACAAAAATGATCCAAAGTTAATTCAAATAATTTTCACGGTTTCCCCCACTTTTAGTTTGTTTGCCGTGTAATGTCTGTTCTTTGGCCTCCTGTCCACTGGGAGTCACTGCTCCATAACCTCTGTGGCTCCGGACAAAGAGCTCATGAAGGCGTTAAAATGGTCTGGGTGACAACGCTTGTATTCATTTATTTTCCTCTTGATCTGTTTGGGTGTATCCTGGTAGTAGTTCTTCTCATCCCTCGCCATCGACTGGAAGAAAACAAACATTAAAGAACATGAAATATTGTTTTTTTTTTTAACAACCGGCTTCACTACCGATTATAACCATACAATCACGAATGACTTCAAAATGCTATTTTTAGATCAACGCACCAATGCCAAATTGGATTCGGACAAACAAGTTATGTTGTTAATATTGTGGATCAGTCTTTCAGTTGCATTCCATATATCACCTTAACGTCGAGAATCGAAGTTACAAAGAGTCAACTATTATCCCACAGTGAACTTGAGGCCTAAACAAGAAGCGTGGACCTGAAGCAAAGAATTTACTGAGACCATAGCAGCACTAGCCTGGTCTTACCACACCATCGTACAAATTTCAGTTTCACGCGAGGGCGGCTATTTGCGCATCGGGGTCGTTCAGAGATTTTACGGAGCTCTCAAATAACTTTAGCTGTGTCTAAATCCAAGTGAGTCATATAGGAGGCAAGAGACAGGAGATTGGAATCACACATTCACCTGCTCATACTAGTAAGTAAGTAAGTAAGTAAGTTTTTATTTATATACCGCCTTTTCACGGCAGATCAGAGTCTCAAAGCGGTTTACAATTGTTAATTTTTGGGCATTTGTCTCTCACTCCACACAGAGATGGGAGCGGGGTCGCCAGTACAGGAGGCACATGCCAGAACTATTGGACATATTTTTAGTGGTAGGGGAAACCGGAGTACCCGGAGGAAACCTACGCAGACACGGGGAGAACATGCAAACTCCACTCAGAAAGGCCCTGGTCCGACCGGGATTCGAACCCAGGACCTTCTTGCTGAGAGGCGAGAGTGCTATCCACTCAGCCACCATGCCGCGAGACGAGAGCGTGTTGTGTGTGTGAGTGAGTGAGCGAAGGAGCAGACAGGTGTGTGCGCTGCTAATGCCACAGTGAATTAGAATTCATTAGAAGTCACTATTTCTTAGAGCGTTTTAGAAAAAATGTCCATGCTGAAGGAGCTTTGCATGCATTGGCCCAGTATCTCTACGCATGCGCCTATCAACGGCCAATGACATTTTATCTGCTGATGATAGTTAACAAGGCAATTATCGGCCGATACCGATGCATCCTTAGAGGGAAAAGTTGTGGAAAAATAAAAAGTTATTATAATACGCCTTTCTGACTCTCAAAGACACTTTACATGGTATATTTCATTGATTTGTACACTGGTGATAAACTCCTACTGTAGCCACAACTGCCCTGGGGGAGATTGACAGAAGAGAGGCAGCCAATTTGTTACACACACTCAAGAATAAAAAAGTTTTTACCTTGTGGTTTTCACCGTGTTCTCGGATCATGTACTGAACGTACTCAATCAAGTCCGACGATAATGTTTTTGTGTCTTTCTCTGGAAGACTGGCCTCCTCCTCCAATTCTGAAAAACAAACGGCAAATGATTATTACTAATATTCAAATCCCTCTCAACACTCCCAGACTTCATCAAACACATGGGTAGATATTATAACTATTATCCCAGCTCTCAAAAGCAGCAGTTAGATTAATAGTTTAAAAGTCCATTTCAAATTTCACTTTTGGTTCCACGCCATCCCAAAATCTTCTCTGATCAGGCACAAATATCACACGCATACACTACTGTATGTGTACTGTGTGTATGTATATATTACAGTGGGGCAAAAAAGTATTTAGTCAGCCACCGATTGTCATTATTTTAAGTGGGAGAACTTGCACAGAGGTCTGTAATTTTCATCATAGGAACACTTCAACTGTGAGAGACAGAATGTGAAAAAAATCCAGGAATTCACATTGTAGGATTTTTGAAGAATTTATTTGTAAATTATGGTGGAAAATAAGTATTTGGTCACTTCAAACAAGGAAGATCTCTGGCTCTCACAGACCTGTAACTTCTTCTTTAAGAAGCTCTTCTGTCCTCCACTCGTTACATGTATTAATGGCACCTGTTTGAACTCCTTATCTGTATTAAAGACAGCCCAAATGTAGCCCAAAACGATATTTCAACCACTGATAATCTCCCTCAATCTGGGGCTCCCCGCAAGATCTCATCCCGTGGGGTCAAAATGATCATGAGAACGGTGATCAAAAATCCCAGAACCACACGGGGGGACCTAGTGAATGACCTGCAGAGAGCTGGGACCAAAGTAACAAAGGTTAACATCAGTAACACACTACGTCGACAGGGAATCAAATCCTGCAGTGCCAGACGTGTCCCCTGCTGAAGCCAGGGCATGTCCAGGCCTGTCTGAAGTTTGCCAGAGAGCACATGGATGATACAGCAGAGGATTGGGAGAATGTCATGTGGTCAAATGAAACCAAAGTAGAACTGTTTGGTATAAACTCAACTCGTCGTGTTTGGAGGAAGAAGAATACTGAGTTGCATCCCAAGAACACCATACCTACTGTGAAGCATGGGGGTGGAAAAATCATGCTTTGGGGCTGTTTTTCTTCTAAGGGGACAGGACGACTGATCCGTGTTAAGGAAAGAACGAATGGGGCCATGTATCGTGAGATTTTGAGCCAAAACCTACTTCCATTAGTGATAGCTTTGAAGATGAAACGTGGATGTGTCTTCCAGCATGACAATGATCCCAAACACACCGCCCGGGCAACGAAGGAGTAACCTGGCAAGAGCCAGATTGATGATTGTGTAGAACTCTAACGCGTTCTCCACGATATCAATCTGGGATTTCTCCCGGAGAATCCTTTCGGGGAAAGGAGGGATAAGCAGCAGAATACTTCAAGCTGATTGGGCGAAGTGACGCTGTGTGCCCGCCTACCAAGGTTGCCGTCCAGAAATGCACAAAGCGCCTCTCGCTGTTCATCTTTCAAAAAAGAAATTGGAGATTCTGCTAAAACTGACTTGATAGCCTCAGCTACGCGTCCGTCCTCCTGCGTAGCCATGTTTGTTTTGCTTCGGCCCGGCACTTCTTGCTTTCGTCAAACCCGGATATCCCGCCCTAAACCCCCAGACTGGCGCGTGATTGGCTCGCACACCCAGTGGTTCGACTCGAAAAGTGTAAGCGGGAGCGGTACAAGATGTATTCTCGAGTGTTTGTGAACTCACAAATACCGCGAGAATTCAGCTTGCAGGCAAGGTTAACGAAGGAGTGGCTCCGTAAGAAGGATTTGAAAGTCCTGGAGTGGCCTAGCCAGTCTCCAGACCTCAACCCCATTGAAAATCTGTGGAGGTTTGACCTTTGTTATTGCCAACAAAGGTTATATTACAAAGTATTGAGTTTAATTTTTGTTATTGACCTATTACTTTTTTTCCACCATAATTTACAAATAAATTCTTTAAAAATCCTACAATGTGAAATCCTGGATTTTTCACATTCTGTCTCTCACAGTTGAAGTGTACCTATGATGAAAATTACAGACCTCTGTCATTATTTTAAGTGGGAGAACTTGCACATTCGGTGGCTGACTAAATACTTTTTTGCCCCACTGTAACTCCTATGTAAAATTCACTCTGGACATGAACTGGACTTTGTAAATTTATCCTCTCATAGTTCATGCTGTAAAAGGACATTTCAATGGTCACCTCCATCCATTTTCTTCCCCTTAATCCATTTCTGGGTCGGGGGGAGGCAGTCAGGGCTGCACCCAGTACACTTAGCACCAGCCCCTCACTGATCCTCCTGCAGGTGGTGAGCCCACAGGCGCCTTGATCTTTCAGAAGGGGGTTCAGGCAAAGTGGGGTTAAGTGTCTTGCCCAAGGACACAACGACAGCAGACCTCAGTGGGAGCTGTGAAGCAGGTCTCGTGGTGGGCTCGAACTCATGACCTTCAGGCCCAAAGGCCAATGAGCTACTATCGCCCTGAGCTGTGGTCACTTATGTTCCTTAATTATACTCAATAAAAGAAGAATCACTCACTGTTGAGCACATAAGGCTTGATGACAATCGCGGCTGGAGCCTTGGTCGCAGATTCTTTGCCAATGAGCTAGAAATAAAACAGAAAACATGTATTTGTTATTTAAAATTAATTTACGGCAGTTTCACACCAGCAAATATATCATTGCACAGAAGGCTGAAGTAAAACACCATTGCTATCGTCTGGAACAAAAGTGCCATTACAGCGGACAGTGCTTCAGTAACTGTAATAATGACCCAATATTACAATTAACTAGAAACTTGCAATGGCTGAAGCCATTGCGATTGACTGCGGAACAGATCTAATGTGGAAATCTGCTAAAAAAAATCCTTGAAATCCTTTAAAAAGCCTTGAAACTGTTAAAATACTTGATAGATATTTGAAACTCCTGAAGTCCTTGAAATTGTTGAAACCTTTAAACTCCTGAAATCCTTGAAACTGTTGAAACATTGAAACTCCTGAAATCCTTGAAACTTTTTTAAACCTGGAAACTGTTGAAAGTGTGGAAACTCCTGAAATCCTTGAACCTCCTGATATCCTTGAAACTGGTTAAATTCTTAAACAGCTGAAATCCTTGAAACTACTGAATGTATTGAAAGTGTCCTTGAAACTGAAAAATCCCCTCACCGCTGAAACAATTTGGTTCCTGTAACTAAGGAAACCTGGTCTGTGGTCATTATCTGGTGGTGGTCTGAGTCTTCGTTTGGGTCTTGGTCTGGTGGTATAATGCAACCTATTAGGTTGCATTATACTGGTTTACATGTAAAAAACCCTATTAAGTTGCATTATACTGGTTTACATGAAAAAAAAAACCCTATTAAGTTGCATTATACTGGTTTACATGGAAAAATCCCTATTAAGTTGCATTATACTGGTTTACATGGAAAAATCCCTATTAGGTTGCATTATACTGGTTTACATGTACAAATCCCTATTAAGTTGCTTTATACTGGTTTACATGTAAAAACCCCTATTAGGTTACATTATAGTGGTTTACATGTAAAAATCCTTATTAAGTTGCATTATACTGGTTTACATGTAAAAACCCCTATTAAGTTCCATTATACTGGTTTACATGTAAAAACCCCTATTAAGTTCCATTATACTGGTTTACATGTAAAAACCCTATTAAGTTGCATTATACTGGTTTACATGAAAAAAACCCTATTAAGTTGCATTATACTGGTTTACATGGAAAAATCCCTATTAAGTTGCATAATACTGGTTTACATGGAAAAATCCCCATTAAGTTGCATTATACTGGTTTACATGGAAAAATCCCTATTAAGTTGCATTATACTGGTTTACATGGAAAAATCCCTATTAAGTTGCATAATACTGGTTTACATGGAAAAATCCCCATTAAGTTGCATTATACTGGTTTACATGGAAAAATCCCCATTAAGTTGCATTATACTGGTTTACATGGAAAAATCCCTATTAAGTTGCATTGTACTGGTTTACATGGAAAAAACCCTATTAAGTTGCATTATACTGGTTTACATGGAAAAAACCCTATTAAGTTGCATTATACTGGTTTACATGTAAAAACCCCTATTAAGTTGCATTATACTGGTTTACATGGAAAAATCCCCATTAAGTTGCATTATACTGGTTTACATGAAAAAAAACCCTATTAAGTTGCATTATACTGGTTTACATGAAAAAACCCTATTAAGTTGCATTATACTGGTTTACATGGAAAAATCCCTATTAAGTTGCATTATACTGGTTTACATGGAAAAATCCCTATTAGGTTGCATGATTACACTGAAGTCCTTGAAACTGCTGAAGTCCTTGAAACTGTTGAAGTCCTTGAAACTCTTGAAATCTTGAAACTGCTGAAATCCTTGAAACTGTTGAATCCTTGAAACTGTTGAATCATTGAAACTGTAGAAATGTCTGAAAGAGCTGAAGTCCTATTAAAATGCATGGGCCTATTAAAATGCATTGCAGAATTCTCAATGCAGATTTTTGTCCGATTGCGGAAAAACCGGAAATCGCTGAAGTCCCAAAAGTAATAGCAATAATCTCCCAAACATGTGGAACGTTTTGATGTATAACTTGTGGAAATTGTTGAAAATGTGAAAGCTGTGAAACGTGTCAAAAAAAATGACGGAATAAAGAAATACAAAACCAATGGTTGACTGCGGAAGGTTCCGCAGTCAATCAACAAGAATAATGAGGTTTATAACCATTTTCAGACAAATCGATTTGGGTAAAGAGCTTTTAAATTAGACATGCACTGATGACAATACTGGTATGATATAGGTTTCATAACGATTGAGCCTTTTATCTGCAGGTTTAATAGAGTTTAAACTTTTATTCATACAGATAAAACCAAACGTAACATGTGTTAATAAAAAGGTTAAAAGATTGAATTAGGTGATATTGCAGCAAAGAGAAGTTTTTCCTTGTCGTTGTTTATTTGGTTTGGTTGTCCCACAGTCACACTCACAATCACACACTCATTCATTCATTCACCATGAACTATTGTACATATTTTATAGTGGTAGGGGAAACCGGAGTACCCAGAGGAAACCTACGCAGACATGGGGACAACATGCAAACTCCACTCAGAAGCGCCCTGTTCCGACTGGGATTCGAACCCAGAACCTTCTTGCTGAGAAGCGAGAGTGCTATCCACTCAGCCACCGTGCCGCCCATTGAATTAACAAAAATTCAATGTAAGGTACCTTTAAATTACTGTTTATGGCAAAACACTTGTACACCTGAATATACAGCCCCAGATTATAATCATGATAGTAGTTAAAATATTAATTGTATATGTTTGATATAAAATCATCACTCGATATATATACACAGTAATCAAAAATACAATACTCGTGCATATTACAAGTGTATTTTCTATACTACCTTTTGTTTCTTTATGGGCAAACTCTTGTTTGGATCAAAGGTCAAACCCATATCCAGAAGATTCCTCGCCATTGTTTTATTTCTGTCCCAAGCGTTTCGGATCTGATCACTGAGAAGAAAGGAAATAATGAACTACTACAAAATTAAAACATCATAGATTCCTTCTATCCATCACTGTCTAAACATTGCTACCGTTCTGAATATAATAAATACATTTTAGACGTCATTTAAGTCACCTTAAAACCAAATAATAATGCAATTGTCATATCATTAGGGTATTGGCGTAAATAGCGGGGGTTTTTTTAATCTAGATTTGCTGAAAACGCATGCGGCTAATATGCTAAAGCTAGTACCCACTTTTCAATCCTCGGGTTGTATTTCTTATGGAAGTTCTTTTTCAGCTTCTTCCTGTTCTTGTTGTAGTCGAACTTTTTCCTCCTCTGCGACTGTTTAGTTTTTGGCATTTTTCTTTATGAAGTTGACAACACGAGTAAACTGCGCTGTTTTCAGTGAGAATCAACCACGTGGGAAAACAGGAAGTCAACCGGAAATACGTATGTCTGCGTAAGTGAGTAAGGATGGGATGGGTTGGGGCGGGACTCATTACTGCCCCCTGTTGAACCTAATATGTCTCTCATGTTATAATGCAGACTGTAAATATATCTTCCACAAGGCTCGCAGAACTATTTTTAGTGGCCCCTGAACTGATTTAAAATTATTTTGACACATTTGCAGTATTGAAATGTATTGAATGTGAGATGATATTTTGCTACCATGGCCTGTATTCTAAATATCACCTCAGACTCAGGGAGAAAGACCCTTTCTGAAGGTGGAATTAAACTCCATTGTTTAGAAATTGTGTATATGTAATTCAGAGATTGGAATGCACTAAATTGGTTATGGAAATGTGTGTATATGCCACAATACCAATATATTTATAGAGGTTAAAAAAAACGTTCTCTTCCATGTCAAAAATACAAAATTATGTCTGCGTGTGTGTCAAGCAGACATACTTCAATCATTGTATTTGAACATGATATATAAATTAAAAAAATGGTTCAGCCATTTTTCCTCCTCAGGGTACAAGGGTGTGGCAACAAGGTTCCACCTCAGTGATAGGGATTATTTACAACGACAAAGCATGCAGAAAGCATACAATGACAGAATTAATGTTCTTGACATCAAGAATGTAATTATAAAAGATGACCTGATTAACTCGTTGACTGCCATTTACGTATTTGTCTGAGACCCTCTATTCGACTGGGGATTACAGGACAATGAAAACAGCTAGAAACAAAATTATTTTTGCTGATTAAAGTAGACAATCCAGTCTTTCAGAATCCGGTTTCATATTTCATATAGTCTAAGGAAATAATATTCATCAAAACGGCAGGCAGTCAATGTGTTAATACAACAAAGTTGTAAAAGAAAGGTGATCTTTTTTTTGACTCTCAACTGGATCACAATAATCTTTAACAAGAAAGTGGATTTCTGTGTGACAATCCAGAAGGTCTCCCTCTGCGGGAGATGTTTGAATCTGTCTCTGTCTTAAAGTGAGATTGTCTCAACAGTCGCGATCTTAAGTGAGCTGATGTTAGTCGTATAATAATGGCACTGCTTTTCAGATTCATGCTGCTAAAATCTGGAACAATCTTCCTGAAGATGAGACAGGCCTCCTCACTGACAATGTTTAAAACTAGGTTAAAAACAGTTCTGTTTAGCTGTGCATACAACTGAGGGATTTTATATTTTTATCTTTCTTTTTAATGTGCTGTGATTATTTATGATTTTAATGCTATTTAGTTTTGTTCAGCACTTTGAATTGCCTTGTGTATGAATTGTGCTACATAAATAAACTTGCCTTGCCTTGCCACTGTAAGTAAGTAAGAAAGTAATCTTTACTTATATGCAGCATTTCACAGACCAGAGTCACAAAGCAGTTTACATTTGTTATTTTTTTTTTGGGGCATTTGTCCTCCTCTCACTCCACACAGAGATGGGAGCGGGGTCGCCAGTACAGGAGGTGCATGCCAGACCTGTTGTACATGTTTTTAGTGGTAGGGGAAACCGGAGTACCCGGAGGAAACCTACACAGATACGGGGAGAACATGCAACCTCCACTCCCTGTTCCGACCGGAACAGCGCAAGAGTGCTATCCACTCAGCCACCGTGCCGCCCACTGTGGCCAGATGCATGGCCATAGGGTATAGTGGGCTTTTATTTTACTTATCGTTGACTTTACGTCGGCCATTAGTTCATCTAATATAGAAGCACCCACATTTCCACTCCAGCCGATAGACCACATCTGCTGTTCTGGAGAGTCAGATGAGGAAGTGTTGAAAGATTTGTTGAACATTTAAATGTTTGGCCCTTAAACCTTGGCAGAAGCTCCGGCGATTATCGATATGAGATATAATGACCGGAGGAGCTTCCCCCCCGGGACTCGGCTTTGGCGGTGGCTGAATTCGATGGAACCCCCAATGCAGAAACTAGGTGGATCTGAGGCAGAAAGGTTTGACACAGGTGAAAGCAAATGAGCTGATTTGTGGATTAAGTAGGAACCTGATCAAAGGGGCGACAGTGGCTCAGTTGGTATCTCAGTTGGCTCTATAGAGCATTGACCTTTGAGCCTGAAGGGTTCAAGCCCACCACAAGACCTTCTTTAACAACTCCCACTGATGTCTGCTGTCGTTATGTCCTTGGGCAAGACACTTAAACCCACTTTGCCTGAAGCTGCCGCTGAAAGATCAAGGCTGTGCCGTCACTGACAGAGCAGCCGTTCTCCTGTTGACTCACCACATGCAGGAGGATCAGTGAGGGGCTGGTGCTCTGTGAACTGGGTGCAGCTCTGACTGCCACCCTCCAACCCAGAAATGGATTAAGGGGAAGAAGATGGATGGATGGATTGATGGACCCGATCAATGAGTGGTTATGCACAATGTGTGTGCGCGCGCGTGTACAAACCCCCGACTCAGTCCAACAGTCAAGAAATCAAGCCCAGGATCTGTAAGATGAGAGTGCATCCAAATACCACCGCCACAATATTGGCTACAGCTGCCCACCATTTACAAAACACTGCGCTGTCCCTTTTAACCTGCTTTTAACCTTTAAACAGGAAACCAAACATGAGCATTCTCCATCTTTGCACACTCTTCCATTAGCGTCTATTAGCGCTGTTTATTTCTGTGTGCTGCTGCTTATTTATAATGGCACTGACACAGGGAGCTAATCTGAATGAGAATCAATACATGGGCCGGATTTTGAAGAGGCCGCGCCCAAGACTCACGACTAACCGGGTTTAATGTGCTTGTAATGCTGCTTTATTGATCTCTGCTGAAAAAAGTCACAATAAGCATACGCTCATGTTGGTTGGTGCTAGCTGTCAAGGTCAGGTTAAGTTTTGAAATTAGTTCTACTATTGTCATAGTTAGGAAAGACAAGTTTATTTATAGAGCACAATTTCTACCTAATGAAAGTGTTTTCAAAACAGGAACTTTTACTTACAAAAATAGTGGAAACACTTTGAGTTGTATGCTCTGCTAAACCTGGAAAAAATTTGAACATGAAACTTAAACCAGTTTCATCAAAATGATCAAATAGCAGCTACTTGGTTTTACACTGGTCCAGACCAGAGCGAAGAGGATTCATGGTCCGAATCAAGCGCATCTATCTTGTGGCGTGAGATGAGGGAGGACTCAAATGCAGGAATGCGAAAAATAATGATTTAATCAAATAAAGTCCGAGGTGAAAACAAACTCAAAATCCGAACAGGAATCTAGGAAAACAAACACACAGACAGACACAAAGACAATACAATGGACCAGCAACAAGGGGAGGGAAGCACATGGTACATATAGACACAGAGAGACACAGTTGAAACACATCAGGGCGGGGCAGACAATCAAGACAGGGGAAACAGGACAGGAAGTCACACTAAAACCAAATCAACTGACAACTGATATAAAAATAAAACCAAAGTACAAGATAACACAAAATCCACACCGTGACAGTATCAGCCGAAAATCCACTGGAGGAAGGCTGACTTTTTGCAAAATGCATATGAAGCATTTAGCATTTTACTTTGGACTAGAGCAGAGAAAATCTGAACCAAGCGGCTACTCCACCTTTTGACCTGATCTACCCAGAGGCTACTCCACCTCTGCTGCTCTGACCCGTCCTGCTTCACTCAGCTGTTGCTGATTGTTACTATAGTTTTTTTTTTTTTTTTAGAATGATCAATTTTATTTTTTATTTGACTGGACACCTGAATTTCTTCTATGGGGATCAATAAAGTTTCTATCTTAGCAACGAAAGGACCAATCGGTAGTCGAGGCTGGGGATAGATTGGTTGCAATGGCTTTATTAAGAAAAGAAAACATCAACTTCATTGATCTCACAATGTCCCCTAAGAGTGCATTATACATACTGTCCTTTTAAGAAAAAGTGGTGAAATAAGTAAAGCACACATGTCGCCATGATGGCCTCATTGGTTGTGTCAACATGAGGATATCAGAACGAACCTCACGTGTCTCTAATTTGGGCAAACACATGATTTTGTTGTAATTGTAGTAAAGTAAATATAAAGTACTTGTTTCATTTACTTTTCATGTGTTGTTTCACCTGAAAGGTAACATTAGAAAGTCAATCTGACTTACTCGGTTTATGGGAAAGAAACCCGACACACAATTTGTGATTTTTTTAACCTTTTCTTTCCTTTATCCCACATAGCGTCAATGTTGTGCATACCAAAACATTCATAAAAATGAAAATGCAACCATTTTTATTGTATTCTTTTGTTTATTCAAACATTAGTGTTAGTTAGTTATTTACTTGGTCTTTAACCATAGGCTTATTACTAGCTTACAGCCTATATAAAAAGATGAATGAAGAGGGTTCTTCCTTATCAATTACACTGCCTACGTCAAATTGAGGAATTTAAACAATTTTGGACAGAACAGATCAACAGAAGTCATGGCTTTGTTATTACCATATTATGTGTGGACAATGGTGAAGGACCCCTCCTGCGTCAGAGACAGTGGGAGGTCTAGGGTAAATCTGCAGACTTGGAGCTGCACTCTGCGGGCTGCACACTGTTGATCCATATTCATTCTCTCATGTTTTGGTTGATGATGAATGTATCCAGAGCTTTGCCTTTCGGCTCAGCTCCCTCTTCACCACAAAAGTCCGACACAACGATTGAGACACTGAACCCAAAATTATAAACATGAAACCAACAAAAAAGTAAGGAACATGGGCATCCTCTTCCAAATACGGGTCCTGCTCATGAATGCATATAGCCCACATTTAATTATTATCAGCAATATACACAACCACAATTGCTAAAATGTACTGATTTATTTTCAAAAGTTGCATACTGGATCTTTAAAGCTGATGGATAACTTTAAATCCACAACATTTTTTAGAGATTTCTATGATAATTTAATGAAAGAAAAAGTGATCACTCAGCCATAAATCCATGCTCTCAACGCAAAGGCTTCAAATAATGACTCAAGATAACATGATTTCTGGGTTGAAGACAACATTTTATGGTCTGAATGTTAGTTTCACAAGGATTTTTCTGCAGGGACTATCAACATCATAGCCGTTGAGCACCTATACACAAAAATACCTACATGTATATTGGTGCAAATGAACAACATTATTTATCCCTAAAAGAACGATATTTCAACTTTAGGAACCCGAATTCTGCTAATAAACCATCCATGATAGCAGAACTCCCAAATGTTCCCAAATCTTAGGAAAGAAGCGCCCTCTCCACTTTTTGAACAATACTCTCTGGTCTTATTTGAGGAGCACGCATCACCAGAATGATTGACAATTGGGAGGACCAATAGTCTTGATGATCCACCCGGAAGTAGAAAATCCTCTTATATACCTTTAAGTAAGTACATGAACAATACTGTAACTTTGTTCACATAAATTTCCTCACTGAGGGACCAATAGAGGCTCATCTTATTTTGAAAAGGGAAGGGACAGGTGAGTGCAGCCCTAGAGGTGCAGCTCCGCGTGTGCAGAGAGTGTGTGACAGCAGCGGGACCAGGGCGGGGGGAGAGCGGGGGAGAGGCTCTGCGAGGCGGGCAGGAAGCGCTCTGTCAGTCAGGGTCTAGAAGAGGGACCATCCCAGAGCTCAGGGCTGGAAGTGGCGGTGGTGGTGGTGGTGGACAACCGGGAGAGTTTAGGGGGCTTCCAGCTGCTGTGAGCCCGGACACCAGCGCCATGGAGTTGGAGAACATAGTGGCGAACACCGTGCTGCTCAAAGCCCGCGAAGGTGAGCGGGGATCGGCGTGACAGAGGGGCACAGGAACCCAACAGCTCTTTGGTCCTTCGTGGTAGAAGAGTATTGGCTATAGTTTCAATAGTAATCATATGTTTTCACGATTGCATGATAAAGCCAACTTTATCACGTGTTGTTTTTACTTGCATTACTTTCGGTGTCTCGGTCAAACACGCAGAGAGCGATCTCCGGATGGACTGATGCATTTGATATAGTCTCTTAGAACTTCGGGTTTTACAAGCTTATAACACGGAGTATACATTTAACTACAGTTTTCAAACCATCTTTAATTTGGCACTAAGTTAATAAACCAAACGCATTTATTGAATATGGGCGTATATCTTTATAATTTGGTATTCATGAAATTTGCATTATGAAGTAGTGCGGTATGTTACTGTTTTGTACCGAACAAGTCTACATTATGCCAATAGTAAACCTTGCTGTCCATTGTTAGCCATGCATGTCATTTTCACCGCCAACAAATGTTCTAAATGCAATGTAATGACATATGAAGTAACTCCAGTTTCTAAGATTGTAACTTATAATATTTCCGTCTTCTTTAAAACAACAATTATTACAGTAACTTGTTAGTGTTCTAATGCATTACTTCAAATGATGTCCTCCATAACACACTCTAAACCGAGGTATACTTTATTGTCCTGGAAATGCTGTCCTCTGCAGATTTGACCCATCCTTCCAATGCCAGAGGCTTCTGTGAGGAGCAGTGGTCGGTGCAGCTGCACATGTGAAACAGGCTGCAATTCCAAAGTCTCTGTTTGAGAAGGACTAGTAAATACATGCATGTATTGCATGCATAACTATGGCTCCAGTTTGCTTCATATTGTTTCGTTTGCACTATTGTATATTGTATCAAGAATATCAAGAATCCATACAATTGACTGGTATCAATGCTTTGAATGGCATAATGAACTTGCACTTAGAAAACTACACACTGCCAAATGTGTCTAATGGGCTGTATTCTGCCCAAACTACTATCAGTATTTTGTTTTTAACTTATTATGTCATATCACAATACTTACTTACCGTTACTAATATTATTGAATCAAAATGTATTGTGAATTAATATGTATTGAAATTGCACAGTTTATTGTATCGAGGCCCTTGTGTTGTGATGTCATTGCATCGAGAAATGGGCCCTTGCACTTAAGGACCACCTCACAGTATTGAAAAATAATTATTGGATAATTTAAGTTTTGGGTGACCTACTTAATTCACTTCAAACATTGCTTACATAAGCGGTGTACATTTAGCCAATCTGTGCTTGGGGAAACATGTAAGAAATTGCATTGAACTTGCTGCCTCACCATGTCCTTCTACATTTGGACATACACTAATGTCAGGGCACGGACAGACAGTTTTTCTTCTGATGAAAGGACATGAGATTTTTATCGTATGCTGCCTGTGACTAAAACTTGCAGAGGGCATTATCTTCATGAACTGTATCAAAATATGATGAGAATGCATAATTGTACCGATCTTACAAAACAAGTTTTGTCAGAAGCAGTTTCATGGAAATCAATCAGTTAGATGAAAAGTTGAGATAGCGATGGTGCATTAGTGGGTCAAATCTTCTCTGTGTCCTTTTTCAAAAACTAATCATCCATTTCCTAAATATACCATTACTTACGAGTGAAAGCTTTGAAGTGGGAACTTGTAGTTTTCACTTGGGAAATAACCGACCTCTCAGTATTTTTACTGGTCTAGTCTCGCTGATGCAGCCCAAAGCAGGTCTAATGTGACTGTTTAATACACTTAAGGTGTGGTGGAAGAAGGAAGTAACTGTAGACGCAGGAACAATGAAGAATCCCAGACAAGACATTTTTTATAATGTGCAGATGTATGAGAAGTAGGGATGTAAATCGGCGACCGTTTAACCGGTGGTTGACCGTCACAGCGTTAACCGGTCAAAGCTGTCGGTTAAAAAAGAGAAAACGGGGAGAGGGGAGGTCTCTTAATAACGCTATTTTAAGCCCTATTTGCACGGTGTGACGAGCGGGTCTGTATCTAGCTGTGTGCGCCCATGTATTATAAACTCCGGGACGAGTCTCACGCCGCACGAGCCACATATGCACACACACGCACGCCCACACACACACACACACACACACACACACACACACACACACACACACACACACACACACTTTCCCCCTCTCCATACGTAACATCCACACGCATCATCTCTCCCCTCTGTTACCGTCAAAGTTGCACACTGGCGCGGGTCAGAACTACATTGGAGCTTACATTTACACACATATACATACACACACACATACACACACACATACACACACACATACCGGTCTGTCGCGCTCCTCTGTGTCACGGAGCCCAAAGGATTCGCGCAAATACGCGGCTCCAGTCAAACCACATGGAACATGTTTGTGTTTATGGTCCTCGGGATCAGCTCCACACACATCACTTGTATTTAAACTTTTGTGAAGACCTGTGAGACGCGGCTCGTCACTCGCTGCTCTGACCATGTGAACGAGCCGTCGTTTGCTGCTAGAAAGTTTTGGTATTAACCCGCAGCACAGCAGAATGGGAAGATTAAACAAGCAGTTCTCTGTGCGCAAAGGTGCCGGAGCTGTTGCGGGTTTGGGCGCCACTGTCTCAACTCTGATCCAGTAGAACGCAGAGCTGCACTTATGGAAAGTACGCGGCTCGAAATGGCTGTTATTTCAAAGAACGTGGACTATTTTAAACTACGCGGTTAACCGGTTTCAACCGGTTAATGAGGCTCGGTGGTCGGTCATGAAAATTCACTTCCCTGACTTCCCTAATGAGAAGTCAAAGTACCTTTTAATAAAGTTATCATTTACTACTATAATTATTAACTGATGATTATTACTTTCAGAGTATTAAACATCAGATATTAAAACTAGTATTGGAACTATATCAGATCCATTGAGCAAGTATTAATACAGCACAAAAAAATACAGGCTAACATTTTATTTTTCCAGAGCCTTTTGAAAATTGTTAAAAAAATAATGGAAAAAAAGATACCGACGGTATCAAGTCTATTCATTAAATCAAAATTTACAATCAAATATTTATATCAAATATCATACTATTTAACTTGTGACAAATGCTTAATATAAAAGGCTTTTAAGATTAAGATTAATAGATCCTTTTTTCATCCCACAATAGGGAAATTTCACAAGATAAACAATTCCTAAAATAAAATAAAAAACTCTAGCCCCTAGCATAAAAAGAAGCAGTATAAAATCCATATCTTTAGCATAATAAGGAAAGAAGTCTAAAATCTCCAAATTTAGCATGATGAAGCCAGTACAAAACCCCCTGACTCTAGCATAATAAGGAGCAAGTATAAATTGCTATATTCTACAGCAAGACTGTGGCACAAACAGGGGGAAGTAGCAGCTTGGCGATATATGGCCAATTATTCACTGTCAATGTTACTTTCCACTAATGCGTAAAAAGTAGCAGTTAGTTCAGTTTGTTGGTCTGATGTTGTGCTGTCACCGGAAGCACTTGTCTCCTGTCAGAGAGCGTTGGTGTGGGTTTCCCTCGCTGATGTTGCAGCATTGCTCTGGTTTGTGAAAGAGGATGTGGACACTGTAGACACAAACTCAAGGCTTTATACCAACTCTTAATCTTATCTAACATAAACAACAAGGTGAACTTTATTGTCTGTCTCGGGGAAATGTGCCGAGTCATTTTGGGCTGAGGAGCAGAGCCGTAGTTTAAGGACCAAGCTGAAGCATTCACGTTTGCCTGGGTTTGTTTTAAGTTAAAGCCATAAAACTATAATCAAATCTGGAAGCTGAGTCCAAGATGGCAGACAATTGTTGTGAATATAAGTGCTCAGTGCTCAAGGATAGATAGACAATGTTGTCATTCTTATATGGCCATTACAACAGAATATAGTCAAATGTTTTTTGTATATTGAATTTTATTTGATTTATATGATCAGGGACAATGCACAATAAACATTAGTCTAATGCTTGTTTCTACCCCTAGTCCTGATGTGATATAACACTAAGAGAACTGATTAAGAACCCAATTACAATCAAAACCTTTTAAGCCTTTTTCAGCCTTATATTGTACTTATTCTGTAACTTTTTCAGTGGGACAAAACACAATTAAAAACCAATGTAATACGACTTATGGTGCTTTTCTCGTAATTTTCCGCACAGACACAGAACAGTAGGTCCTGGTGAGAACACAGATTGTTCGAAGACAGAATACGTACTGTATGTCAAACCAGTGCAAATCAGTTTGAGTGAGTAAATGAGACAAGAAGCTTCAATGGTCATTAAAAACCTTGAACGACAGGTCTATGTGTGCCGTAAATGTATAATATTCACAGAAACACTAGTGAAATAGTATATAGGTCATATTTATTTCTTCCATTCCCTTTTTTAGTTTGGAGTGTCTAGTCTCTCCCTTCTTTGCTCCTCGTGTCCATCTATCATTTTAAGTCCTCCGTTAAGACCTTAAGACGGGGCACTCCTGGACGGGGACTGAAGGAACTCTGCAGATTTGCCATTCAAATCCTCATGTCACAAAATGAATGAAGCCTTGATGCAAACCTTTTTATTTTGCATCCGGAACACATGAAGATCGTATCGTGCACCATCCCATAATAATAACCCTCTGATGAACCGGAGATAGGGTCAAAGTCAATGTAATTTCAGCGATAACGAAGATGAACTGCCGGGAATCATGGGAAATGGGTGAATAATTGGTGATGAACAGATGTATTGAGAACAGTCTGGAGTGTGGGCTTGTTTGGTTAGTTATGGATTTCAACTTCAAGAGTTCATTTGAAAAAAATAGACATCTCCCTTTTGATAATTTGTCAAAAGTTGTATTACTCTCTCTACAATCTTTAATTTTGCAAAGGTGTTGCTCAAGAAGGGGTGGAACTTTATTTGTATGGCACTAAAAAGACCTGGATAAGTAGACTTGGTAATGGGCTATGGCCTTAAAATATTATTCTAATGGCATTTATCCGTTTGGAAGTTAGATTTTCACTTCTTATTTATGGTACAGTTTGGGACTCATCTAGACAGTGTTTTTATAATAAATTGTGTCACCTTCTGAGAGTACTATCTGAATCTATCTTAAATGTATTAAACCCCTTTGGAGGAGTCTATAACCAAAACTGACCATGCTATTTGCAGGTGAAAGGAAACATTTACTTTTTACTTTGGCCTTGACATGGTTTTAAAGTGATAGTCTGTAACTCTAAATGAATTACAAATTTTAAGAATTATATTAGATTGACCTTCTGGTCTTAAATGTTGATATAAAATAATAATTTTATTAATTCTGATATTACGGGCAAGTCCCGCCTTCCCTTCTCTCAGGTAAAGCTCAGAATCCACGATGCTGTCCACTTTAACCAATCAAGTGATGCCAAGGGCTGTCCATCATCAGCGCTGATGCTCGTAGCTGCTCATGCTCAGTTGTTTGTTTTTGCGGAGCCTCCGATCCAAGCCTCTATTAGGCTCTGGAACTTCATGAAAACTGAACAAAGAATTCTGAACATCCACGCTGAGTTACCTATTTATATACTGAACCTATATCCATAATCAGATCCTATATCCATAACTAGATCCTTTTTCATGAAAACGTTAACAAATAATTCTGAAAACCTCCGTGCATGTGTATTAATAATGCATAATAAGTGCATGTATAATCTGTTCTCAGATTAACATGTATATGTGTTACGGAAACGTAGGCACAGACCAATCAGAAAGGAAGGGGGAGGGAGCTTGCGTAGTTTTTTTCAAATCAAGTACCTCTCTCTTGTTTTCTGAAAAACTGCAGACAATCACTTTAAACTAATCATACAGGTCATTTTCTGTAGTTCCTGGACTGGTGGTGAAGGTTAAGGTCACCATTAAAATTGCTATATAAGGTTAAACATAACTTCTAGAACGTGTACTCAAAGAGTGCATACCCCGCCAACACCACTGATCATCTGAACATGTAATTGGGGTCTTCTTCTTCTTCCTACCATCAAATCAATCAATCAATCAATCAATGTTTATTTCTATAGCACAGTTCATACAGAATGCAACCCAAAGTGCTTCACATCGGCAACATTTAAAAGCTATTTAAAAACACACTGTAAAAACAAATACAAAAGACAGTTTAAGAAAATGAATAAATATATACATCAGAGATAAAATTATGATCCGATTTCCTGATGATCAGTCGTAGGCACGGCTGAAAAGAGCCGTTTCAGCCTGGACTTGAACATAGCTTAAGTAGGAGCCTGTCTCACACTTCAGGAAGACTGTTCCAGATTCTAGGTGCATAGGTCTGGAAAGCTGCCTCCCCATGTCTAGTCCCAACTCTGGGCACCAACAGGAGGCCAGTCCCCGCGCTCCTCAGAATTCAAGCAGGCTCGTACGGCACCAGCATGTTGCATATGTATTTTGGTGCCAGGCCATGGAGAGACTTATATACAAGGAGAGCTGATTTAAAATCTATTCTCTGAGCCACAAGAAGCCAGTCCAGAGACCTGAGGACTGGACTAATGTAGTCGTACTTCCTGGTTCCTGTCAGGACTCGAGCTGCAGCATTTTGAATGTACTGTAGCTGCTTTACAGCTCCTTTGGACAGACCAGAGAGAAGGCCGTTGCAGTAGTCTAACCTACTAGAAACAAAAGCATGAATGACAATCTCTAAGTCTGCTTTAGACATACTGTAATGCCCTTAATTCTAGCAATGTTCTTTAGATGGTAGAAAGCCGCTGATGTTACAGATTTAATGTGACTATTGAAATTGAGGTCCGAGTCCATGATTACTCCTAGATTTCTAACCTGATTTTTGTAATTTGGATAAAGAGAAAAGGATTGGAGAAGGCTGCACACACGTTCTCTGAGTTTCTGTGGGCCAAACACAATAAATTCAGTTTGTTTGAATTTAACTGAAGAAAGTTTTTTTGCATCCAAGTGTCAATCTGTTTGATGCAGTGACAGAGTGACTCAACTGGCCCAAGTTCACCCGCAGCCAGTGAGACATAAAATTGCGTATCATCTGCATAGTTGTGATAGGATACATTTTGGCCTCGAATCAATTGACCTAGTGGCAACATATAAATATTAAAAAGAAGGGGGCCCAGAATTGATCCTTGGGGCACTCCACTTGTTAAGGCCACCTGGTCTGAAACACAGTCCCCAATCTCAACAAAGTACTGTCTGTCCTCTAAATAGGACTTGCACCAACTTAAGCCAGTGCCAGTGATGCCAACCCATCCCTCAAGTCTCTGCAGGAGGATCTTGTGATCAACAGTGTCAAAGGCTGCACTGAGATCCAACAGGACCAACACTGTGGCTTTGCCTAAGTCACGGTTGACGCGGATGTCGTTGGACACTTTAATCAGGGCAGTCTCTGTGCTGTGGTGGGGCCTGAAACCTGATTGAAATAGGTCAAAAACATTATTCAGCAGCAGGAAATTGTTTAGCTGCAGGTAAACGGCCTTTTCCAACACCTTCCCTAAAAAAGGAAAATTTGAAATGGGTCTGTATTTGCTGAGCACTGCAGGATCAAGACTGCTCTTCTTTAAGAGAGGCCTGATCACTGCAGTTTCCAGAGGACCAGGGAAGGTTCCTGACTGAAGTGATGCGTTCACTATTACAGTGAGTGAAGGCAACAAACTGTTAAGAACAAGTTTTAAAAATCTAGTGGGCAACACATCAAGGCAGCAAGTGCACAATTTTTAATTTTAAAACAATTTCTTTGACCAATTTTTCAGTGACTGGTGAAAAAAAGGACAGCTCAGAAACTGCAGTTGTTTGTATAGAAATTTGTGATGTGGGATATAAATCCCATCTATATTTCTCTCAGTTTTTGCGTATGCTGCCTGTACAGACAACAAACACATATGAGTAAAATACCTCCCGCTCATGACAGGATAAAGTATTTTTAATGTTCACCCTAGCATTCATAATAATTTCTAATATTTTGTCGCCTTGGTAAATTGAATAAAACAACTACAACAATAATTACTAGAGGAAAACTATTTAGTTGCTGCTATAGCTGGCTGGAATCGGCTCATGAAAGTAAAATATGAGATTAAAAATACAAATAAATGAGTTATTGCAGCCAACCAATCATATGTGTATAAAAACTGAAAATGTAACATTTTGTAATCAATATAATTATTTCAGGTAATTTGCAGCCTCTGATTGTTGCCTTGTTGCTTTACAGGAGGTGGAGGAAACAGAAAAGGAAAGAGTAAGAAGTGGAAACAGATGCTACAGTTTCCTCACGTCAGTCTGTGTGCGGAGCTGCGACAGTCCATCGGTGAGAAGCATTTTCATATTTCTATTAGTGCTGCTCTCAATTCAAGTGTTTTATTCACCTTTTTAACCTTCTACCTAATATTGTTAATAATAATAATGCCTTGCACATGTGAGGAACTTGCAGTTTGTTTGAAATGGACTCATGATTCAAGTGTGGCAAGTCCAAGAGAAACGCCATCCATCCAACAAACAGCCTCATCTCTTCTGTTAACTCTGCACTGACGACCTGAACCCAAATGACAGAAAGTTGTGTCTGCAGAGTTCAGTGAAACCAACACAAATTTCTAATCACCGAAACTGAGTCCGACCGGATCCTACTCCTACGTAGGACTCCGGCTAAGGCTTCTTTAAGTAGTGTCAAACTGTTAACGCCTATAGTGTTAACTCCAGATCAGTTGTATTTAGTAAAACAGCCCCATAATTCATATACATTGCATTTATAAATAGTAAAAATCACTTCACAACCAGTTCAGTAATTCCTTTCACGCGCCGCTTTCCCTGTTTTTGGAATGTTTTGTGGGAAAAGTGTCTAATGCCTCGGGATGATTTCATTTTTCTTCAAGGAGATCCTATGTGTTCAAAAACATGGGAACTCTGCTTACATACAATTCTATACATTAGTGTTGGTTACTCCTGGCTGGTCGGGAGATTCCCAGGAAGGAACTAGAGACAGGCGCTCATAAATAATAATATATATATTTTTTTTTTTACATTGCCGGACTTTGAATAGTCACAACACACTAGATATTGTTGTAGAATAAACTGCAGTATTGTTGTAAATCTTTTCATTTTTTTGATCCATAAATGAATTATAGCATAGCCACTGTGCTATTTACAGTCCTATTCAAACATCTCCTCACATATAAAAGATAAACAAAGACAAGACCAACATTAAAGTTTATAAAAAGTGTGTTTGATCTCCTTCCCTCAATACCATGCAGTGCAGTGATTGGTTCTGTAAAAAGCATGTATCTGCAAACATTACAGATATTCACATATTCATATTGTTACATTTATTTTTGTATCTACCCTAAATCACAACAGCAAGTTGTTGATTTATCATCACACATCAGAGAATCAAACTGTTCAAACACAGGAGTCATGGACTGGGGAAGTCAGTCCACAGATGCAAATGGAAGACCCGGATTCAGGTGTCCCATCATCACACCATGAAACAGACAGTGGGACAGTGGGTGAATAGCAATAAAATTATGTCAAACTGACTGAAAATTATGCTGATTAGAGTGTGCCAGCAATGTGTAGCACATAGCGAAGCAGAGAGGCAGAACTCTCATTCTGCAATCTTTAGTCGTTCAGTCAATTTATCGCTCGATGATTTCTTATATAGTCAATCACATTTTGTATTCGCCGACTGATTATTCTGTTTTAATTACAAGTGAAAGTTTTCCACTGATATGGAGCTGAAGATGTGGTTATTATGATATTCAAGCTAGATCAAACTATCTATTCATTCTTTTTCTCTTTATTCTTCTTTCTAGAATCACCTTTCTTTCTATTTGAAAGGTTGACAATTTTCTCTTTACCAAGTGAAAACCCAGATCTGTTTTAGTGCCAAAGAAAGTTTCACCCCTTCTTGAACAAATACTTTCAAATGTATTGCCAGTAACACAACATGCTGAGAGATTGTTGCTGGAGGAATACAACTTTTTGACACATTTTCCAAATGCAGATATGTTTTTTTAGTTGAATAATCCAAGGACATGGCATTTGTTTAATTTTTCTGCGGGTGACTTCTGACTACAGCACCATCCCATTGTTTCCATCTCACATCAAATTAGTTGAAAATTGTGCGTTTTCCATGGTACAACATGACCTCAATAATTGTTCTCTGCCAAAATTAAAAGATAAAAGTGCCATTCACAACATTCTGTAAGAGCGTAGTCTTGCATTAGAGTTGGTCACATCCAACATGAATCACAGACATCTTACTTAACAGTTTTTTCTTTGTTTGTTGTTGCGCTAAATCACTCCATGCCAAGTTTCTAACCAGTGAGTGAGTGCAACAAGGTTTTTGTGTGTGTGGGCATGTGTGTACGCATAAATGTGTGTGTGTGTGTGTCATGAAATTCATAGAGGAAGTTTGAGCTGAAGCAGTTTAATCACTACTCATACTACTGTCCTTTGATGTGAAGTTTTTGGAAAACATATTATGAAATCAAATTGTATTTTTTAGCACAATTCACACTAAACACAATTAAGGGCTTTGCTAAACAGTGAGGAGTGCTGTCTCACATTTTCTGAAAGACTATTGAAGACTTTTCATACTTCCTCATATTGCGTCATTGTAACTATAAGCAACCGAAATAACATATATATATGCATCGGTTTTATATAGCACTTTTTTGGACACTCAAAGACACTTCACTTGTGTCATTATTCATTCACTCCATACACGGTGGTGATAAACTACTACTGTAGCCACAGCTGCCCTGGGGCACACTGACAGCAGCGAGGCAACCAGTATGTGCCATTGGCACCTCCGACCACCACCAACCATTCATACACACACCAGACTCATTCTAGGCAATGGGGGTGAAGTGTCTTGCCGGCAGTTTGGCACTTTACAGCCGCAGCCGCCCCACTGTGGCTGGTGTTCCCAGAGGTTAAGTGTCTTGCCAAGGACACAACGACAGTAGTCAGTGGGAGTCGATGGTGAAAGTCTTGAACGGGCTCAAAGGCCAACGCTCTACCAACTGAGCTACTGCCGCCCTAACTTGGTTTTGAAACTACTATTTAAACTAGATCAAAGAGATATTGTAAAAATGAAGTATTAAGAGGAATGGTTCTGCTGCGTTCCAGGCGTTTTGGTACAAATTAAATGTGATGATTATAATGTTTATGGTGAAAAAGGGGCAGGCACATATCAAATGAACACATGTATTTAGTTTGACCAATAGTGACAATATTTAAGTGTTAAAAATATAGTAAAATGATCCATGGGTGTCAGATTAAAACTGTAGCAGACAGACACAGATTATAGACGGGAGGGCAATACCCTTAATAATGAATCTTGTTTTGGTCTGGCACCAAGCAACAATTCTGTTCATTTAATCCCCTACAAGCCTGAAATCCTCAGGCAGGTTCGCACCATCAGTACTTTCTTTTTAATCACTTCATGAAGCCTACTTTTATGGAATGGTCTGTGGAGATTTTTACATGTTGTACTTTATTGCTCTACATTGTCTTGTCTCTGGTCTGTCTTTTTCGATGTGTGCCCTCAGTCTGCTCAATTTTTCTGTTTTCACATGTGTATTGTTTTACTGACCGTGCAGCACTTTGTATTTTTTAAAGTGCAGTGCAAATATCCATTTCTCTGACCCAAACAATCTCCCCTGACTTTGTCTTGTCATATGTTCTCCTCTTGCACCTTTTATTATACCAAAGATCATATTCAATACAATTATTTAGTCATTGAGGCACATTTCAGCTCCAATCTAAATTATGTTAGTTCGACTTGTGACGTGTTCTCCAGCTGAAAACAGTGGACGATTCTTGTCCTTACTGAGTGTTAATTCATATTTGAGATAAAATAAGTTTGTTGTCACTTTTTAAATACTTACAAACTCCTGACAACACTGCTGCTTTTGAAATTTGACTTTAGGAAATGTGAGCATTACCTTGAGCACTTGTATTTCTAGGAAGAGAAGAAGTGATTTTCTTTGGTTCACTGACACAGAAGGTTGAATGCAGACAATTCATGTTGAATGTGTTTAGCCTTTAATTCTCTGGACAGCATGATAAAAACAAATTATTTTCATTACTTTTAAGTTACAAACAAATCATTTTGAGTGATTTGTTTAAACCAGGCTGCAATACAAAACAAACAAAAAACAACATTATTCCCTCATTGAAAATTGGGCAAATATGTTTGTTTTTGTGTGTGCTTTTTTGTACCCTTATATTTGCCCTGCTGCGCTTGTCATCAAATCAACGTTTTTAGAGTTCCTTCAAAAAAAAAAAAAGGGTTTATTATGCACAGTTACATTATTTTGTCACATTGATTAAGGGAATTTCCCATTCACTTTGAAAAAAGGACACGTTTTGTGTAACTTCTATAATATCCCTTGCCTTGTAAATTAATATGCATAACTAATTGGCATGGTGGCTGACGGGATAGCACTCTTGCTTCTCAGCAAGTAGGTCCTGGGTTCGATTCCTGGTCAGAACAGAGTGTTTCTGAGTGGAGTTTACATTGCATGCATGCACTAAAACATGCACAATAGGTAAAATCTTCCAGCTGAGGTAGTCCTGACCAAGCCGAGCATCAACATGTGGAGATGGGTTCCTGGGCGCTGTACTACGTGACCACTGCTCCTGATAGAAGCCCTAGGGCAGGGTGTCAAACCCTTTGAGGGTGCCCTAGTGGCTTCAGGGTGGGTCAAATACAGAGGATGAATTCCCCTATGGGATAAAGTGCACCTTTATCTTTTGGGAAGTAGTTAACTTTTTTTTTTAGCTACATCTATTTAAATAATATATAGAGTTTTTGTGTGCACAGACTGTACACTTTTGTTGTATTCTTCATCAAGATAAGTTTTACTTTCTAAATCATGTTTATCTCATCATGAGATATTTGTTTTATACTTGATTTATTTCTGTTTCATGCACTTCAGTGTTCAATGAACTGGTAGAACTCATGTGATATCAGTAAACAGCTTTGACTGGGTCTAAAGATGGCACACACAAATAAGGTTATTGTGCAAAGACACTTCTTAGAAGATGGTGTTAGAAGTACATGTGTTTTCTCTTGAGCCGCTCTCATGACCTCACACTGAAGAGCTGAGGAATAACCTAGGACCAAAGTTTTCTTTGTTATTGTTGTTAAAATGAGAACAACAAAAAAACAAATAATAAATGAAAAGCTATATGCTCGTCTTCTGTCTTTTATCTTCCAATTCCAACCTGCAACCACTGCATACTGTGAAACTATAGAACTAAAACACTCCCACAATCATTTAAATGGAACTCAAGCTGTTTGAA